ATTCAGAATGTTGTAAATCTTTCTTCATTATCTTAATACACTTACAGAACTAGTGATGTCTTTCTGAAATTTAGTAGCCACATTTATGCTAGGAAAATTTGAAAAAAATCGAAAATAGCCCCTAAATCGGGTTGTCATTTTCTTATTTTCTGCAAAATGCATCAAATGAATAATCCAGAATTTTGTAAAAATTCCTTCTCGTTCTTAATACGCTTACGGAACTTGTAGTCTCTTTCCGAAATTTAGTAGTCCCATTTATGCTATGAATATTTTTTTAAAAAAAAATACTCCTAAATCAGGTTGTCTTTTTCTAATTTTCTGCAAAATGAACAAAATGAATAATTCAGAATGTTGTAAACCTTCCTTCACTATCTTAATAGCCTTACGAAACTAGTGATGTCTTTCCGAAATTTAGTAGCCCCATTTATGCTATGAAAATTTTTAAAAAAAAAAAGAGAAGAAAATAGTCCTTAAATCGGGTTGTCATTTTCTAATATTCCGCAAAATGCACCACATTAATAATCCCGAATGTTTTAAACTTTCCTTCACCCTCTTAATACCCTTATGGAACTAGTGATGTCTTTCCAAAATTTAGTAGCCCCATTTACGCTATGAAAATTTTAAAAAAAAAAAAACGAAAATAGCCCCTAAAACGAGTTGTCATGTTCTAATTTTTCGCAAAATGCTCCAAATCAAACTCTCTTAATACTCTTATGGAACTAGTGATGTTTTTCCGAAATTTAGTAGCCCTATTTGTGCTATGAAAATTTTAAAAAAATAAAAAATAGCCCCTAAATCGGGTTGTCATTTTCTAATTTTCTGCAAAATGCACCAAACAAATAATCCAGAATTCGGTAAACCTTTCTTCACTATCTTAATACCCTTATGGAATTAGTGATATCTTTCTGAAATTTAGTAGCCCCATTTATGCTATGAAAATTTTAAAAAAAATCGAAAATAGCCCCTAAATCGGGTTGTCATATTCTAATTTTCCCCAAAATGCACCAAATGAATAATCCAGAATGTTGTAAACCTTCCTTCACTCTCATAATAGCCTTATGGAACTCGTGATGTCTTTCCGAAATTTAATAGCCTCATTTATGCTATGAAAATTTAAAAAAAAAAATCAAAAATAGCCCTTAAAACGGTTTGTCATTTTCTAATTTTCAGCAAAATGTACTAAATGAATAATTCAGAATGTTGTAAACATTCCTTCACTCTCTTAACACCCTTACAGAACTAGTGATGTCTTTTCAAAATTTAGTAGTCCCATTTATGCTATAAAAATTTTATAAAAAAACGAAAATAGCCCCTAAAACGGGTTGTCATTTTCTAATTTTTTGCAAAATGCTCCAAATCAATAATCCAGAATGTTGTAAACATTCCTTCACTCTCTTAATACCCTTACGGAACTAGTCATGTCTTTCCGAAATTTAGTAGACTCATTTATATTATGAAACTTTGTAAAAAATCAAAAATTGCCCCTAAATCAAGTTGTCGTTTTCTAATTTTCCGCAAAATACACCAAATGAATAATCCAGAATATTGTAAACATTCCTTGACTATCTTAATACTCATACGGAACTAGTGATTTCTTTCCAAAATTTAGTAGCCCCATTTATGCTATGAAAATTTTTAAAAGATTGAAAATAGCCCCTAAATCATGTTGTCATTTTCTTATTTTCCGCAAAATGCACCAAATGAATAATCCAGAATGTTGTAAACCTTCCTTCACTCTCTTAATACCCATATGGAACTAGTGATGTCTTTCTGAAATTTAATAGCCCCTATTATGCTATGAAAATTTGAAAGAAAGAATCAAAAATAGCCCCTAAATCGGGTTGTCATTTTCTAATTTTCTGCAAAATGTACCAAATGAATAATTCAGAATGCTGTAAACTTTCCTTCACTCTCTTAACACCCTTACAGAATTAGTGATGTTTTTCCGACATTTAGTAGCCTCATTTATGCTATGAAAATTTGAAAAAAAATCAAAAATAACCCCTAAATCGGATTGTCATTTTCTTATTTTCCGCAAAATACACCAAATGAATAATCCAGAATGTTGTAAACCTGACTAAAGTTCTCCACTCGAATGAATCATCAGCTTTGAGATGGAGAACACATTGGTGTGCTTCTGACCACAAGTAATTGCTCAATTCTTTCCTGTCTCATAACCAAAACTCGAATCACTAGCTTTGGAAAATTTGTCCACAGTGAAAATTAATTTCCTGCATAACATAATCTTGATGATTGTGATAATTAAATTCAAGTTGAGAGTTGTACGCAAGTTTATGTTTTTGATCAAGTTAGAAAGACAAGCTAAGCAGAATCTTTTTTGCAAAGCCCTGTATTTTAATGGAATTGAATATACACCAACAGTCCGAGAATAAGGCTAAGGCATAAAGTACATTTTTGAGGAATCTCCCCTTCATTTGGTGGCATCCAAATTTTTTATATGCTTCCATCCTAAAAAGATAGTGCACATTGAGTTTTGAAAGGATTATCTTTTTGGAACTGAGAAAGTATATAATATTTCCTCCGATCTTTATTATAAGGTATTTTGATTTCGTCCTACATATATCCTAGGATATCTTTTCAATAGGAAAAAAATCTTAAAAATATATTTCCTCACTCGTTGTGCTCTCCTAATTATTACGAAATATTTTTAAGATTTTTATTTAATGAAAAAGAAATCGTAGGTGAAACCTAGAACGAAATTAAATGTTTTATAATAAGGACCGGATCAGGGAGTACCTGGAAGGAAGGTGGTACTCCCTCCATTCAAAGATAAGTGTCATCCTACAATTTGCACATAGTTTAAGAAACTATGCCTCAACCAACCCCATTAAAAAAAATATCCACCAATAATATTAATTCTTTTGAGGGTAATTTTAAAAATTTTGGACAAAAAGTGTATTGTAATATGAGATGATACTTATTTTTAAATTTCTCTATTTTGGTAAAACGACACTTATTTTGGAACGGATAGAGTATAGTAAATAAATAAATATATATATATTTGCATATTTGTATGATGCCCACCGTCAGTAACAGTGACTAATACCCCTCGATGACTAAATATATATATATAACCTGACCCAAGTTCTTTTCTAATAAGTAATCTTTGGAACTTGAACCCTAGTTTTCTATCTCAAGTTACCAACTTGACAATGCACGCGTCAGCACCCTTTGAGTTACCGAAAATTTTAACCTTGCTGGCTGTGACGTATGCATGGCTTTGAATTCTGCTAAGGTTAGTTATGTTATATCCAATATTGTTGCTCGAAAGTCGAAACATTTTAATGCTCAAACATTTTGGCATTGCAGTTTATGCTTCAGTGTTTTTAGCCGACCATTTTTCATTCAGGTTGAACCTGAATATATATTCTTTAAGAATAACATATACACTAAAATGTTTGGGAGTCTTGAGGTTCCATATTTAAAAGGGCTATAAATCAAACAAAACGAATATGCCACTTACATGCTTCAACCTCTCAAGCCTCAGTAAGTCATTCGGGGAAATTTAATTAAAATCTACTTTTCCTTAAGCAGCTCTAGCTAGAACTGATTCATTTTCTTTAAGGATCGATATCCACGGTGCTAAATAATTTTCTTCCCTTCTTAATCTTGATTTTATATTAAAATTCCTGTTTGTGACATGACTAATGCATGTTGAGTATACCACATCGTTGGTGGGACAGATTTGATATCAATATGTAAGACTATGCACTATCTTTATTGCCAATTGGTTTTGAAGTGGAACCTCATAAGCTTCTATAATGCAATGCTAATCACGATATTTGTCTCGAGAATATATTATAAGATATTAATTCCAGAGGAAGCAGACAAATTGAAGCTTTATATTGTAGTCATTATTTGTCAGTGTTGCGTTAGAGAGTAGCAAGTACCTTTCAATCACCTATAACTAATTAATCATATGGATTAGAGTATGCTAGGAATAATGGCTAAGGATGTTACGCCTGTACGTCACCATATAATTTGTATTTTTGTGGAATATTTTAGAGGCAACCTTCCCCCATATATACATATTGAAGAAAACTATATCTTACATACGTTAAAAAATTTAGACTTTCACTTGTTTTTAGCGGAACGAATGACTAGTTCACATAGTTGACATAACAAATGATGAAGTAAGGAGTTTGGAAAGTTTCTCTTTAGTTTTCTTTTCTTCTTCTTTTTCTTTTCTTTTTTTTTCTCAGAAGAAATTTGAGAAAGTTTTGGTAAGCTGAGGATGTCCAGTAAGGGGTTGAGCAAATGAGAGCAAGAGCAATCATTTGGACTTGGCAAATACCTACGAGTATGCCTCTTCAATGAAGGAGTTTATGGCACTAGACAAGAATTTTCATACTTTCCCATTTTTGTTAATCTCTCGTCCCAATAAAATTAATCAATATCACAGTTTCTAATTTGCATTAGAAATATTACAAAATAATAAATCGTAATGTGAACTTTTTTTCTGAAACGAATGGAGTATAATATTTATTTTTTATTTTTTTTTACTTTTTAAATTAGAATAATGATACATGGAAAAAATTACAAAAAATCACATCCATTCAGTTTTAATACTTACCATTTAGGATTTAAACATTTCATGCTATGACTTAATTTAGATGATTAACACATCAATTCTTGTAAAATTTTGTGTGCATGTATAACTATTCAATTAATTGACACGAGAAGAACTAATGTGAGAATAGGAGCCTAAGCCAGACCTATGGCTTTGCCTCTATTAACGGAGCTTTCCTAGACTGATAATATCCTCAGAGGATAATGTTTGTGACGAGTTGGGGGGTTTAACGTTCGAATCCCCTCACATTATATAGTGACGAAGTACAAGAAGGTAACATATTAATTAAGCTTATAAATCATGACAAATGTCATCGTTTAGAGGCTTGATTCTTTAGATTAACTTTATAATTAATCCTTCTATCCCAAAGTGTGAATCAAAGTAGCAAACAAACGGTCCATTAGGTTGCGCTGGAACAAAAGCATGCATATTAAACTCCTCATGGTTTACTTTGTTACAATGTTGGATGTTCAACAAAACCAGACAACTCCATTAAATTCCTTCACATAATATACTTGTACAAACTCCCTAAAGTAATAAAATTAAAAACCAAAATATTATATATTTACACATCAAACCTCTAATTTTGTTTTGTTCTGTTTTTTCTTCTTCTTTCACTACTAGTCATGATCGGGAGAGGTCCAAACGGAAGCTGAAAGCAAGCGCCGTGATTTCCATCCCAAAACAAGCTTGTTATTGGCCAGTTCCTCCACCCTATAGCCATCATTGAAAAGTCCCAACAGCAACTTTGCTTGACAGTGATTGGCAAAGCTTATACTATTGGGCTGAAACCCCATCTCACCCAACCACTCCCCCCAACTACCACCACTGGACTCTTCCTCGCCACGGGCCCGGTATATTCGGGCAACTGACCCGGCTATTTTGGGCCCTAAGAAAACACGTTCCACCAATGCCCTTGCTCGTTCTTGCATCGGGAACCCCGCTTCGAGCGAATCATAAATAGCGGAATAGTGGTGTAACGAGTCCATGAATTTACCAACGAACCCCTCGTCCTCAACAGGTCCAGCTGCTTCTTCCACTAAAGTGATTAGCCTCGGATTTAATGTTTTTGCTCCCGACAAGAATGATGCGACTGAATCGGAGGCGCGGTACGCAAAATGGGGCAAATGTAGCATACAGTTGAATATCAGGGCCTCGCCCCTTACCAGTTTCAATGCGGACGGCCGAAAAGTCTCGTCCGCATCTAACCTGCACTGATGGAACGAGAATGGTTGACCGATGGAGGCAGCAAAAGCAGTCAACCGGCGGCCGGTCTCTTGGACAGTTCCAAATGAACGGCGGCCGTTCCCAGTACCCCTGGACACCGCGGTGATCCTAAGATGCGGCGTTGACGGGCCATCGTTATTTCGGGAGACCAAGGATTGCATGAGGGAGGCCCACTGGATGCCTTCCATAATATCAAAGTCCACAATGTGGACCCGACGATCGTGGGCCACGGCTTCCAGTATAGCCTGGTTGGCAGTGAAGTGTCCAAACTTGACGTAAGGGGACATGTCTTGCAACAACTGAAATGCAGCAATCGCATCCGTGTGATGATCATCCTTGGTGTGAAAAGGAGGCCCGTGGTTGGTGAACATGTTCTTACCATGCGCCGGCGCTCCGCCGCCGTCGAGCAGACCCTGTAGGGCCTCGGCGAAATAAGCAGCTAGCCGCTCCATGTTCGTACCTTGGGTGGGAGACACCAACTGTTTGAGCCGTACCAATATCACTCGAGCCAGTTCCCGGCTCTTGTTGGCGCCGGTGAGCGCCTCCGCCGCCGCCATCAACAGGTGAACCAGCCGCAACCCTTTCAAGTCTTCGCCCCCAACATCATCAACATCCTCATCATCATCTGCATCACTGTCCATCATCACCGTTTCTGGGGACACAGCGGAGCTCCGGCCATCCGGGACGACCATGGGCCACGACAAAGGCACGCTACTTTCATTTTCATCCATAATGGAATCAAATGAGTGAGGGGGGAAATCAAAGTTGATGTTCTTTTGGTCGCAGGATAGCTCATCCCAATCCACCACCGATGACCACTCGTTCCAATTGTCAGCACTCGACGTGGGGGTGGTGGTAGTTGTGGTGGTGGTGCTATAGCAGGAGAAATCAAGGTCGTCCATCATCATCATCATAGTGTTACTGAGAACCATGGCCATATATATATAACCCACAGCAATCAAGCCAAGCTTAAATCACTAAGCTATAAGCTTATAATTAAAATTTAAAAGAATGTAACAGAAAATGGGCATTTAATAACAGGAGGAGGATATGTTACACACACAATGATTCCACCAAGGGAGGGCGAGATGTGTTTGGTATTTATACAACGCACTGATTATTACTATATTATTATTGGAGGAAATGATTAAGGGACAAATCAATTAGGGTGTAAGTGTTGTTTGTGTACTTAATTTGCTGCTTTTTTTTAATAATAGTAATATTATAACAAGGGTCATACTCAATAATACTCTATACTAGTTCAGAAGCTGTTTAACAATGTCCTTACCCATTTAACTTTTGTGTGGTTGCGTCCTCACTCCAATTGTACTGCACAATTATATGTGCATATGGAAACAGTTCAAATCACGCTAAATATTATTTTCTTTGTCCTAAAATAACTATTTAGTTTAGATTTTCACTTTTAATACATGATCTAACCAAAAATAAAAATCTAAATTAGACAATTATTTCGGAACAGAAAGTATTTTATATATTTTCTCTTGTTTTTATTTACAAGGCACAAAATAAATATATATATATATTGAATCCTATTATTAATTAATTAGATATATATATATATATATTGAATCCTATTATTAATTAATTAGATATCTGGCCATGATAGAAAGATTAATCGAGAATCATCGATAACCGGACCTTATGAAACGAATTCATTGTGTATAGAGAGGAATGTTCAACTTTGAGAATAGGGCTTACTTTGAAGTAGAGTCAAAGGTACATTAGCAACATTTCATTAAAAAGAAAAAAAATGGAAAAAAAGCTAAAGTTATTATCTTCCTTGTTTCTTAATTTGCAGGTTATTTGGAACGTTTTAATATAGAAGATTTACACAAAGATCATAAGAAATCGGTGTTGCACAAAATTTATTTACATGATCAATCCACAAAAGTAAAAAATAACTAATCAAGTCATGAAGGTCTGAATGTGCATTATTTAAGTGGTGGATTAAGTTTTTTAGTAGAGGATATATTAATGGCGAGGGGGGCCGCATATTAGTTAAGCTGATGATTAAGATAGTGCTTTGCCTTGATTGGGTGTTGTAGCATTTGTTAAACTAGCTACCTACTGTGGCTTCCTTGGTTAATAATTGGGAGTATATATGATTTATTAATATTGTAATTTTAGGCTCATTGAATTTTTACTTTTTGTTTCAAAATGATTATCATGTTTGTCTAATCTTTAGTACTCTTTCTGTCCCATAATTATTGTCCAGTTTATATTTTTATTTTTAGTTCAAATTATACTAAAAATGAAATCTCAAACTGGAAAATAATTTTGGGACAGAAAGAGTACAGTTTATATTAAAATTGAATAATTATTTTAAGACTTGCAGGAATTATATCATTTTTATTCTATAAGTTGTCCAGTCACGCTTACCTGTATACAGTGGTTGTCAGGTGTGCTATACATATAGCTTGACCAGTTTTTTTTTATTCAAAATAAATTATGATATATACATCAACTTGCTCTCTCTCTCTCTCTCTCTCTCTCTCTCTCTCTCTCTCTCTCTCTCTCTCTCTCTCTCTAATGGTAACCCCGGAAAGCGCTGGTAATCTTTGAATCAACTCAAGCAAAATTAACTAGTATTGGAATTTGAGCACATTATATTGGTGTAGGAGTTCTTGTGATATTACATATGTGAAATAACAAAAATGTTTCAGGATTGAATCTTTACATAAATCATTCCCTTGGTTAAGCTAATCGGTTTAAAATTTCAAATGATGAAACACCCCATGTCATTACGAAAATTTTCTCTTTACTCGTGAATAAATGGTGTTCATGTCACTACTGCATGTCTGCATGTAATTTAATTTTTGTATAATTCTGCCATCCCTGCAAGTCAATCCAACAGTGGAAACAAAGCCAAAACAAATGCCAAACCTCAAAACTACTAAACCTCAAGACATTCACAAAAGGAAGATTTTGTGATCCAACTTTGCATTGAGATCATCACACTGAAAGCTCAGTTGGAAGAATTAGTGATAATGCCTTTTTTTTTACCATCAAATCTTCTGTGGGATTTAACCATCGATATGGAATTATTCAATATTTGTGCTTCGTTGACAGGTCGTTTTGTTGCATTGATTAATTATACGACCATTTCAGTAAGCTCAATCACATCATCAACATAGCCGGCCGGCTGGACCGGCTGAATCTGTCTCCCTTGTACTCCTCATTCCTCCTCACTTGGGGTTCGGTCAAATGCTTCTATTCAGCCATTTTAAGAACTCATATTATTATTGGAAATAAAAAATGGTGATATGTATCTTTGTGGTAGCTCAAGTAACAATCAAGGGGTCGGCCATACCAGGAGTTTTTTTTTTTTTTTTTGAAAAGGTAGTACTCCCAAGTAATAAATGAAAATAATTGCATATACAAAATATAAATATTACAAGTCAAATGACGGCTTATTGGTTGATTAAAAATCCAAAATAACATCATATATTAAACACTGGGTAAAACTAGCTAGTATCTGGTAACACCTTTTCTTTTCTTCACCATTCTTGTGTTTTATGTTTGTCTATATTTATATATTTCTGAATTCCAAAAGTAGTGATATTGGTAGTTGTCGAAAAACCCTATACTTGTTAACATGATATTGGGCTAGAATGAACCAATTCTCTGCCATTTGGAAGTTACGTTGATTAGTAAAAGACTGGAATGAAATTGCAGAATACATATGAAAGTTTAGATTTACAAATTAAATCAGTAACTAACAAGCATCATCAACTGAGTTGCTTCGAGATCGCCTTTAAAATTCATCCTATTATAATCCTGAAGGACTCGTATTTTTTATGAAGTCGGAGGTGATTCGAAAAATATGAGATGCGGGAAAGAACACACCGTCTAATCGTATGGGCAATGTAGTTTCACACGTACGTACTTGATATCTATGTGTATTTAAGATTTCAACCGAGACATTTTAACTTTGTGTATTTATTAGTAGTTGTAAATTAAATATGTACTGTAATAACCGGCCATCCTCTGAAAAATGACCCAACAATGAATCAACCCCACGCATGACTTCAAATGACATGTGCACAACTAAGACTTAGCCCCTTTTCTAATTAGTGTCTAACAAAAAAGGATAAGACCAAAGGGAGATAAAGGGCTTGTTTGCCCGGACCGCCCGCCACCGGCGAGTTGGCCGGAATTTGGCTGGCATCTGGTCGACCAGTTGCCAGGCAGCGGCGGTGATGATGGAAGTGGTCTCGTAGTGATCTAAAAAATATTATTAGTTTATTTAAAATATCACCCAAATAATTTTTTAATGTTATCTTAAATCACATTTTAAATTACATCTCAAACTCAAATCAAAAACCAAAACAAAATGTTAGTCAAACAAGCCCAAAGAGTTTTGATGACTCCATACAAAAACACTAAACCACTTTTTGGAATTTCTCTTTCACCTCCATTGTATATTTTTCTTAGTCTTACGGCATCTCTTACATCAACTAGCTCGGAAAAGTTTTGATTTTTGGTTGTGGGTCAATTAATTAATTAGTCAATCCACTCACTAATTAATGATGCCGGAATAATATAATTTTGGAAAAACACAATAATATTACATCCTTTTTATATATGCAACCTAAAAGGTGACTTTTGTTTGTTTTCGGACCACTTCTCTGTTACATGATTTGAGAGCATGGCATCACACTAACAAACATATTCCCATTACCATAAAATATATAGTAATACTTTTCCCCCCATGAAAGGCCCTCCCAGGATTGCCGTCCTTCTTAACAACTAATTTAAAACGTCTCATTCATTAATCAACATTTTAAAAATATAAATAAAACTTAATAAAGCTTGAAGAAGCGACAAAGGAAACATCAAAAAAGTTCAAAAAAACTATGAAAAGTGGTAGCGTTGATTCGCTTTGATATGATGCAATCTGAGAAGGACTGAATTCCTACCGAAAAAATTGATTGGCTTTTGAGAGACGAAACAAAGTGGTGACGGTGGGATGCTACTGCTTCTGACCAGAGAGAGAGAAAGAGAGGAGTTGAAGTGTCCGAATATTGTGATTACACTCTTCTTAATAGCAACAAATTTGGAACCCTATTTTCTAATCTTTAATTCTTCAGAGAGATATGACGCGATGATTCAGGGTTTACCACATCACTACCAATCTTTGGTTTCATTAACAAACTACCCCTTTTTGAAAATTAAGCCACAGGTATTAGCAGTGGTTTGTATATGTGTATGCTTAAAATTTTGGTTAGTGTAAAAATAATTACATTATTATCTCCGCACATATGTATTTCATATGTCTCAATCCTCAATCATCGTATAACAAAACACCATTATTGTCTTGCGATGGACCTAAAGTGCAGAAATTATGATTCTAAAAAAATTAATGTCAATATATCCTATATTCATTATTACTTAAACACAATATTTTTGGAGGGAGGGAGAGAGAGAGATAGAAAAAAAATCTCCCCTATTGTGGCAAACTCCTTAAACAAAGGGAGAGTTTTGGCATATATAGGAATATTTGGAAGAATCTTCCCTGGTTTGAGTGACATCCCATTTGGTTATGAGAACGATGTGTCAACAACCAAACCAATTTTAATTTACCCAACCAGGATTCCTATATCTTTTTTTTTTCCCTTTCTTTCTGATGCCCCCTTAATGGCCCTAATCATGGATGCTTACAGCACTAATTTATAAAATCAAGTCGTCAACTAATTGACATGAGTATTACTTATTTTCCAACCTATTAGGTATTTCCGAAACCAATTTGGACCTTTTCGGTGCGACTTTAAATCGTTCCTTCCACCTTGCTGTCTTTCCTTGTCCAAAATCCGAATTAATCCGGCCGTCATTTAACCTTTATCATCATCGAGGAGTTTGTAATTTCTCTGTACATGACTTTTGCACAGAAGTCATTCTACATTTACTTAAACTCGTTACTCATGATTGTCTAGGTTGTGTTTTAATTATTTTTCGTATACACAATATATTCAGACAGAAATAAGACATTTTGTTTCATGAGCGTAAATAAGAAATTTTAAAGGGGGAAAAAAAGCGTAAACGAAAAGGCAGTGGTTCATTAGTCTGCGATTACTGGTGTGTAAATAAATTCAGACCCTCTTAATTAATGAATTTGTCTCTGGGTAGTACAACATTAAGTAGTGTATAAAATAATGAAGGGAATTAATAATGAAGACGGAAGTATAGCTAGCAAGTGTAGTAACAGAAACAAGCGCCAGAGGCACTGGTAGAACTAGCTTCACACCTCCCAGTTCCTTTGAATTGTTTGGTGCACTCTGATTGACAGTATCCCGGGTTGCATTGTCTTGGATCCACCTCCGCCTTGCACTTCCCATTCACGTCTCTCCCGCTAACTACCGTATTTCCCATCGTCATCATTAACACTGCCACATACCAAAACACAAAATCAATGATAAAATTAAACTGAGTTTGACCTTAATGAAAAGGAAATTTTTTTAAAATTATACTGTTTTTCACCCCCAAAAAAAAATATTTTATTGAGTTTTCAGATTTATACAATTTTTAGTATAAATTTCAAAATTTAATGTAATTTTTTTGTTTTTTTTTTGGACACAGATAGCGCTAAGAGACGATGGGAACAATGGTAAAACCTGATGAGAAAACGAGAAGAAGGCATAGTGCCCCGAAATACGAAGATTTGGCCATTCCTTCCCCCCAACACACTACTAGGCTACAGCTTTGATCTCAAGAATTAGGGAAATTGCAAAGTGATTTTTTAATTGAACAAGAAGTATGACTTGAATCCCTACCAGCTAGATGCATCGCGCTATTTATACACGACTGACGTGATGAAATTAATCTTAGAGAAATATCAATTTGGCAAATCTTCTATTCAATAGCATTGATTTCCAAGATTGCATTTCATTAATTAGGTACTTAATTGAGCATATATAATTATTGGTTAATCATGTTGAAAATTGCGAGAATGACACGAAATGTGCGGATGACAGCTACACCGGGGGTGCCGCGGTTTGGAAGCTATTTTTGAAAATTATTATGATTTTAGGTTAGGATACACCGAGTGCATAGAACTTTCTACAATCCTCTCTGCGCGCGATTAAGAAGATTAATACCGTATTTATTTTCCTTTTTTGCTTTCTCAATTCCTACCTTACGTTTAATTAACGTGTTTATATTTCACTTCAGTTTTTAAGGAAATATATCTACTGCCATATTGTAAATTTGTGAGATAATTATAAGCATAAAATTGGGATGGAAAAAGAAGAAGCAACACTACTTAATAACGACGCCCAAATTGTGAAACCAAACCCTAAAACAAAAGAAGAAAAGCAAAAAATTTGGATTAACACTATAAAAAGATGTAGATTTTATTTGGAAAAACATTAAAATTCAACCCCCGTATCATGACTGGATTCCTGGATCAACCTATTTCGACCCACGGGCCGACCCAGTTAAACTTCGCCCAAAACGTGAAAATCTAAAGTCCAACAAGTTTCAAAAAATAAATATAGATTTTATTTGAAAACAAATCCCAATTCGACCAGCGTATGGTGATCCGTTTCTTGGGTCGACCCAGTTAAACTTGGCTCGAAACATGAAAATTTAAAGTCTAACGAGTTTTTCAAAATAAATATATATTTTATTTGGAAAAGAATCCTAATTCGACCAACGTATCGTGATCCAGTTCGACCCTCGGGCAGACCCAGTTAAACTTGGCTCAACACGTGAAAATTTAAAGTTCAACGAGTTTTAAAAAATAAATATAGATTTTATTTAAAACAAAATTCAAATTCGACACGCGTATCGTGACACGGTTATTGGGTCGACCCAGTTCGATTCACGGATGGACTCAGTTAAATTTGGCTTGACACGTGAAAATTTAAAGTCCAATGAATTTTAAAATGCGAGTTTAAGTTAGAAAATTTTAATTTTAAAAATGAATGTATGTTATTTTTCCAAAAAATTTAAAATTTGTAAATTAACCGAATAAAAACTAAAAAAAATAAGCCATGACTCGCGGGTCAACCCGTACGGGTCAACCCGTGGGTCAAAAATTTATACCGGCTTAACTTAAGTAGGATGACCCGCGGGTTGACCCGTGACCCGCGCCAACCCATCTTGACCCAATTCGTTCTAACCCGTGCTTATGGCAGGTTGGGTTGGGTCTACTCCCGCTTACTTCTAAACCCACTTTGACCCAACCCGTCCAACTGCCAGGCCTAGATGTAGGGTTGGAACTGCAGCGCAGGATTATGCTATTGCTATGTTCGCAACAAGATGATGACATGGGAGTAAGATAGGAGTGCGAATCACTCCTCCGGTCTTTATTATAAGGCATTTTGACTTTTCAAAGGTTTCACCTAGCACGTATTTTTAATTGACAAAAAAATCTTTAAAAATATTTCATAATAATCTAGAGAACACGACAAATGTGAAAATATATTTTTAAGGTATTTTTGAGGGAGTAGTATTTAGGACTACCAGGAGGACATTGAAGGACATTGAAGGCAAGTGCTTCTTCTGGTTATTTTAATTCAATTAATTATGCAATTAAATATCTCCAAGTTCAAACGGAAATTAAGGTGGTCTTAATTTGATTTGCTACATCATAAAGAATGGGAAGCCAAAACTAGATAAATCATGAAATTCGAAAATATGATATATTCGCATATGAGAGCCTTTTTAGCTTCAAGCAGTCTTTTTAGCCTTTTTAGTTCTGCAGACACATATATGTTAACGGGTTATTGAGCAGCAAGAGGTGCAAGACAATCAAATTTATGAGTTATCAAAATCACAGACTTTCATCAAAAAAATAAAAAATCATAGAGCCTACAAAATGAACCATCTTTCCCAAACAATGTGCATGCCTAATAAAAAAAAAAGTGAAAACTCATTCCTAAGTAGTTTCATCTCAATGTATTATTTACCAGCAGTTGTGAAGCACACAACAACTACTCCCTTGCTACAAAAAATAATTATATGGAGTATATAAAAAAAGATCATTTGTTTCCAGAGTCAATCGAAAGTTGTGGAGATGAAGCTTGAGTGTCTTTTGCAGCAGCTACAGCCGAATCAATCTGTTTGGTTAGTTCTTCCAGTTGCTCAACCTTCTCCGACAACAATTTAACTTGGCTATTCCCAAACTGTACCAGTTTGTTCCCAGCTTCCAGAGCCGCGCAAAGCTACCACAAGTTTAATCAAAAGAAAAAGGTTCCATTAGCACTGGCGGAAATATCATCACAGTTATACGGCTCGTAATCACAAATGTCAAGTTCTGTGTTTTGTTTTAGACATATAAAAGATACCGCCTTCAAATGATGGAAACTTCCATTAACATTGTGAAGCAGAGTATGGGAAACTAATGGAATTACAAAGCACTTTCAATGCAGACTGATAACATGTGTGTTTGTAAAGGGATGGACAGAAAATGAAATCAAGCAGCAAAATTTGGTGGCAAGAATCGCAGGCATTGATCTGGACACAGATTACATATTATAGGTTAAACCTTCCCATGTGTCCTACAGTGGAGACCATAACACTACGTGGCATTCATTAGTTAGTTGCTAATATGGGGATAACAAAACTGTTTTGTAAAACTGCATCTAATGAACGAGTTGCACATAAGTTGAAATAGAAAGTGGGGTGTGAATGTGTGTAACTATGTCTGTCACTGCTTAATGACAGCGCCATCAAACAATAGTAACACATTTGCTTTAGAACTATCTTACCTTCAGAGTAGGAGACATCCAGGAGTTATCTGCTCTGGTCAGTGCTTTATCGAGTTTATCGTAGTTTTCCTGTGTACAAAAGAACAATTCAGGTGAAACATTCAAGAAATCTAATCAACGACCACTTCAAAGAAACATGTGAACCAATAACTGTACACACTGTATATTGGTTAAACTAAACAGCAACATTGACGCTGTCGTGTGTCTGCACCGGGATAGCTAGAGTGCATGAGAAAGAGAGAGAGACCGCTGCATTTTAAAAATCGCACAAATTAACCCAAACATAAAAATAAAAATAGGATAAAACTTTAAAATTTAAAAATTTCAACCACATTGCTTATAATCATAATTGCCTGCATGATTTTTATTGTTATCTATAAGCATGGAGCAAAATTTTCCAAAGTATTCATTTTGAACCAGCTTCTTCAACTCCCCGAAATTTATAAGCTTGAATTTCAAACACCTTCATGCTTAAACGTCATAGGCTTTAGTTTCTAAATGGACACTACTAAGGGCTCACCACCAGACACCTTAAGTAATGTTTTATTATTCAAAGCCTTTGCTAAACTGTTCAACAGGTTGGTAATCACAAGTTAACAGCAAAATGCTCACATATCTTTTGGTAATGCTCTCAACTGTGAAGGAACTTCCTTCTCTTTCTATTTCGTTCACTTAACGTTTCAGGTTTTGAAAGGTCAAACCAGACTCAAGCATATTCCTCCAAATTCAATATCAATGTAACGCCTCCCTCCTTGTCCCTGGAAAATTGTAGGAACTTACCTTATGGTAAGCCCAGATTTGTAATTCAAACAGCTTAAGGTTCAGTCTTACCTTACAGTTCAGTTTCTATTAGATATAAAAGCTTATCTCTCCATAGGGTACCCAAATTCTAAAAGTCTTCTCAGTGTGAAAGACCACAATTATAGGGATAACCCCATCATCCAACAAGCAAATTTCAAGCTAGTTGTGGAACATTTGAAGAGAAACCACTGGATGAAATAAGCTTGCTTATTCATGAGGTAGCAAGATACAAGCAATTTACATTTACATGCAAAGATGTGTAACTACAGCAATATTTCTAGACAAGAAAATCATTGACATATGCATCATCATTCCCAATCAGGACCAACTTCAAAGACGATATCTGAAAAATAGCATGCAGTTATAGGGCACTTACCTGTGTTCAATCAATAAATCAAAGTTAAATATCCTAGTCCAAGTACAAGAAGAATTGATGATTTCATAAGCCAGCTAAATTACCAAATACACCACCTATCAATGTCAGGTTCCAACACCACCTATCAATGTCAGGGCAGCCAACTCGCAAGAAAGTTTTCACAATTTTAAAATTGTCAAGAATCAAGGGAATAGCTTAAGCCACTAGCTGTTTAATCTCTACCATGGATCAACCCTTTGAAAGCTCTACTTGTAGCCACCAAATGTCTGCATATACAGCTATCCTCAGTCGGATCCCTTCAACATTACTAATAATTTGCATAAGAGTGATTCAACTCTCAAATTCGAGCCATACAGTCGATGAATTACCAAAAAATATATCCCAACTCTATGGATCATCACTCAAATTGTAGCCATACAGTCAAAAATTGCCCAAAAAATTTCATCCAACACTATTGAATCGTGATCAGAATAAAAATCGAGCCGAGGGCAGTTGCACAGATGCCAGGTCAGGTATGAAAGGTCACAACATAGTCTATTCAAACCAAATAAAAGTGAAATGTTGAAGAAGGAGAAAGAAGTTAAAAAAGGAAAACCTGAAACAGGGAGCGAAGATTGGGGTTGGGGAGATGAGAAGCGGGATGAGATGGGTGCGCATCATGGGTGCCAAGGGGGAGAGCATGAGGATCAGGAGCTTTCCCAACGTCGGAGAGCAAATCGCCGATACAGAGCAAGGGTCCGCCAACGCCTCTCATCGTCGCAGCTGAACGATTATGGATGTAAGCTGTACCGTAAACTTTGGACCCAAAGAAGAAAGGATTAAGGAAGATAGTGTGAAAGTCACAGATGGTTTTGGAATAATTTTGAATTGGGGGGAGGCTGTTTTCAGAAACATAGATATGGTCAGACGGACAGAGAGAGCAGTAAAAGGGCGCAAGTAAAAGAGACCATTTTCGTTTTGGGAAAAATTTGACCAAGAGCCATGAAAAATATGTAAAATTAATAAAAGAGGTATGAAGAAAAAAAAAAAAAAACTCCACTATTTGTTATTGAGAGCGATGTTTTGCCTAAAATCATAAAATTAAAATACTTTTACTCAGATATATTTACCCTTATTATCTATTCCAGTAATAAAAAAAAAAAAAAAAGTTTATCCGAAGAAAACAAAAGAAACTAAATAAATATAAACAGTTGATTTCAGCCTCGCTCCAAGTTATTTCAGCTTTCATTCTTAATTATTGTAAAGTAATTGTTTAGATTAAATTTATTTTTATACTTAATGGTTTGTTGCTTCTAACACCAACAATTAAACGATGTTTTTTATTCAGAACTTAGATTGATGCATTATATATGAGTTCTTCTCCCTACCCATGGATCAATAGCTCATCAGCATGCATCTCCGGCCATTAAGGAACAAAATGTGTTGGTTGAAATTTCTAAATGGAAAGCGAAAAAATAGATCTCATTATTTTATTTATTTATTTATTTTTTTGGTAAGCCGCGCAACTCACGATTGTAAAGGTTATCTTTAAGAGTTGTGCTAACGATATGATTAAAATTTTTGTTAAAACGATGTAAGAGAAGGATTTCGTGGGGATTTTCTTCTATTTTTCTTAGAGAGAGGTAATAAGGACAAATGTGTCCGAGTACAAGTGTGTTAATTTTATAATTTTAGGCAAAATATCTACTGCCTGTTCCTAATAAAAAATATTTTATGATCATATTTCTTTTAGGGAAGTGATTTTGCCAAAACAGTTTCTAGCATCCAAAACAAAAATAATTATTTTTTCCAAAATTATCCTTATGGGTCAAAAGACTTCCTCCCCTCTATTCTCTCCTCGTAATATCTTCTCCGACCAAAACTAACATCTTTACTAGTCCACTGTTTACTCCATGCATAATTGCGGACATAAGTTATATATTAAATTTTTGCACAATTGCTTTAGAGCGCAAATCTCCTTACTTGACAAATTTAAAGAATTCCATGCTTAACAAAGGTATAAGCCTTCTCAGTTTTCGTGGCATAAGAGTTGTAAAAGTTTTGAAATCCAATGGCTCAACCAGGAACCAGATATATCACAATTTAGTCCCAAAGCAGAGTCCTTCTCTTGAGTGTTGTTGGAATTAACAAAATCTCGAGAATATGGCTTGTACTAAGAAGTAAGAAAAAAAAACATCAATATTAATTTCTGCTTAAATTTTAGTTTGAAGGGCATACCAGATCCTTGAGTATAGTGTATATATAAATTGGGATCAGTGTTATGCCATGTCTTAGCAAAAGTAAGAAATTTCGTCATCATCGCTGCCGAGAATAGAAAAGAAGCAGAGATGTGGTTGATCAGAAATTGGAACGAGAATGACGGCGTAAAGAGGGAATAAGAGATACAATCATACTAAAGAGAGGAAGATGTGTTTGACCCTATAAGTGTAACTGATGTATTTTTGTTTTGGAAACTACAAAGTGTTTTGGCAGGATCATCAGCCTTTCTTTTATTAATGTCGCTATTTACATTACCCTTTCACCAAATTTTCCCTTTCGGTTTTTGGGGTTGCTTTTATGATTCAACATTTTAAAATATGAACAGATAATTTGTGGTATAGTACTACAAAGGCAAATTGTACAATACTTCAATAATCAATGGGAGGTCTGGGACTTTTGTAACAAAGTCAAGAAACTGGAGATTTATTATTTTATTTTTTTTTTGAAAATGAAGGAATTGTTGGAGATAAGAAGTCTTAAGATTTTATAGATTATTATGTAGTAAGAAACAATTCCAAGTCCCTTGGCCTAAGAGGAAAAACCGAAAAAGGGTATGAATTGTGTTTTAACTAAATAAAAAAAAGTTGGAACTGTCTGATGACTTATTATTAGTGACTTGTGCTTGCGCCTTAGCGGTGTCACAGTTCCTCAAAAAAAGTATAATTATGGAATAGAAATAAAAAAAAAAAAAAAATGAGAGTTTCTGCCAGCAGTCACCCAGAACCTTAAAAAACGGTTATGTGGGTTGAGACGGTCAGGCAGAGAACCAGAAGAGAAAACTAGCTCACTTTCTTTCTACTAAAAACACCTGACTAGTAATTCTTCTTCCTTTCTTCTTCTTCTTCTTCTTCCGTCATCCGCAACAACGGTCAATAGCATAACACTGTGTTGTACAATGCAGGAACAGACAAAAAAAACCAGCCCTCTCCTGCAATGAACCATCCTCCTTTCAACCAAATTCCACTACGGAAAACTATAAAACCTTTGTTATACACATCCAGCCACATAACTATTCTCTTACTCCATTTCAAAAAAAACTATCCTCTTACCTTTTCAAAAAAAAAAAAAAAAACTATTCTCCTACTGCAATGGTCCGCACAAATACTTGTTTCCTCTTCCCCAAAAGCCGTTAATCCAACTATACCACTACCTCATATCTACACAGACTGAAAAAGGTTCTCCTCCCCGTCCATGAGTCCCATCAACCATACCCTACTTGAAATACGAGCTAACGTACAGCCTAGCACCTATATCCACAGGCCCATCATCCCCCCCAACTGCATGAAGTGCAACCGGTATTTTACAAAGGACGCGTAATGTAAGAGGGAAAACCGCAGGTGCAACTTCCGTCATTCGAGAAACGCCAGAATCTGCACTCCGACTGTCACAGTTTTCAGTTCCTGAATGTCCACTGGTGTTCAGGCTCAACATACTATCACATGGACTAACTACTAAAGCCACTTCCTCAAGCCTCCGGAGCTTCGCCAAATTACCCTTCCTACTATGAATTTTGCTTGGGTGTCTGCTGAGCACCAGAGTAGATGTTGCATCAAGCCATTCGACAGCCAAGCAGTCCACGTCATCGTAACATATTCGGCGTTCAACCTGTTTGCAGAATCCCTTATCAGCACAATTGAGATAAAGGCTATGACATGCATAAAACTGTAGATTATATTACTTCAACAGAGGAATGAAATAACAAATATCTTACTGCTAATTTCGGAATGTATATTGACATAAATCTGGGACCCAACCCCATGACTCGAGCTTCTACACACATCTGCATAAAAATACATGAGTTAGTCTACAAAAGCTCTAACAACTATCTGCTTCAACAGATTCTTGTTAAATGGCAATCATATAAAAGTTATATACACCAGTGATGTACCTCCATTGAAAAGTATATAGGCAAAGGAAACTAGAATAGACGAAAAAAAGACAGAAAAAATGAGGCAGAAATATCGAAGAATTGCTCACAAGTTTCAAAGATTATTTCAGAATTCTTTTGATACACAAACAATTTCAGCAGCTATGATAACAGGATGGATGGTATGATCAACCTGCACTGAAGTTCAAACATTTTTAGATTGCTCCTAGCCACAGTACTACAAGAATCAAACCAAATAGAGACAGGCATATTGTTCCAGGAACAGATTTATCTGCTGGTTTCATACCAGAACATCATTCTATCCAATCACAAGTGAAGTCTACGACAACTTTGAGAACTAATCTAGATCCCATTAAACATGTTGAAAACAAATTATTAATGCTTAGGTTACTTGGCCACCCTTAAACACTGCTGGGATTTGATCTTGAAAACTTCTTCACTACTACCTTAAAAAGAACAACCAGACAGCTTACACGCTAACTTTGATATCCAATCACAAGTCAAACGAGATACCTCCTTGCCTCAGAGTATTTACGAGTTGAGATTACCTTGATTTTTTAGCCCAACAGTTCCGTTTTTAGAGGGAACTTCACTACTCAAGTGCTCAAACATTAGAGACTAATTCAGAAGAAAATTAAGGATCATAACCAAAATTCTTTCAAATATAACTTAGAAGAAAATGAAGCCCTGGAAGAGAGGCAAAACTAGGAGAACCACCACAGTGATATTCACTGGATAACTTGGTGCTGTTAAAGAAAAGAGGCAATGTCCTCAACTTCATCCATTTCACAGAATTTTTAAATCATACATCGTCCATCAGGGTAAACAATCACAATTGAGGCACCACATTAGATATTTGATCATGTCTCAAGTCAAAGACCACTCAATGCACAAAAACCACAAAAGAAAAAACAACAAACAAAATCGAAGTAACAAACAAAATCGAAGTAACAAATCATCTTTCTAAGATACCTCTTTCTTCTTGAGAAGCACCCACATGTAGAGTTTATCAATAGAATCCTTGACATGCCGAGCAGCCAACTTTCTACCATTGCAATGAGAAGCAACATTAGAAATTATCTCTTTGCATGGGATTTTGAGCTTCGATCCTACAGCAGATAACAGTTCTTGGGCTTCATAAGATTCCACAATTTCTTTAACAGAACTAATACCAGTAAAGCATCTGAGACTCATTAACTCCTCTGGATTCAGTTTTCCCATAACCTCCTTACGCCTGAGATACATCTCCTCAGCTTCCACAATTGCACCTAGCATCCTGTGTACTACTATGTCTGGATATCTCCGGAGGGGTGAAGTAAAGTGAGTATAAAGAGGGATGCCAAGTCCATAGTGTCTCCAATCATCCGTACCATCCTTGAAATCTCCAGGACAAAAGTATGATGCCAACTGCATCGCTTTAGTAGCATATGACATGACAATATCAAATAACACTGCATCATCTTCCAATTCAGCCCTAATGCACTCCAATGAATGATGAAACTGGGCAGATGAAGAAACATCTAACTTGAAACCATTTCGACCACAGAAGGCTTCAAACTCTTTCAACTTCCGCTGATTAGGCTCAGGATGCCTCCTCAATAGAGCATTATAGGGATATGCTCTAGTGATCACTTCTGCAGCTGTCCTATTAGCCAAAAGCATAAATTCCTCAACAAGAAAATTAGACTCTTTCCCGCCACACATCAAACTGTCATAAGGACTCCCATCTTTATCAAACAAGAAAGCCACTTTTGGGCTTCGGATTGCCAGAGCCCCATCATTAAACCTCCTTGCTTTCAAATTCCTAGAGATTTCATGAATGCTTCTAACAGATTCAACTACATCAGACCAGTCAAAGGAGCCATACAAAACCGGCCAACCATTTGGCACAGGATCGGCACTTTGAGCATCAAATAGACCTCTAACCATTTGCTCAGCATGCTCATAAGAAAGCTTGCAACAAGAACGTATAACAGTGCGCCCGATCCAACGATCTAGGACCTCCCCATCAGGATCTATGTCCCAAAACATTGAAAAGGCAAGTCTATCAACTCCAGGGTTTAGTGAACCAAGATTCTCAGACAGCATGGGAGGTAACATAGGCAACTTACGCTGCAACATATACACACTTGTCGATCGAATTTGAGCATCAATGTCTAGGGCTGTGTCTGGTAGAACGAAGTAAGATACATCAGCTATATGAACCCCAACTCTTGAAGTACCATCAGAGAGGATTTCAACAGATAGCGCATCATCAAGATCAGTAGCAGTAGAAGGGTCAATCGTAAAAATGCACAAATTTCTCAAATCCTTTCTGCTCCTCACTTCTTCTAGTGGAACCTCCCAAGAACTAGTTGGAAGACAGGAAAGAGCTTCTGGAGAAAATTGAGAAATATTGATTGCGTTTTCAAATAAAATAGCCGCAATCCGTGCTTCCATTTGTCCCCCTCTTCCAAAACTATTAATCACGTGAGCTTGCGGAACAGTGGTTTCCTCTTCCCAGCTTACTATACGTGCAGCCACGAGATCCATCTCAACTGTTGCATCACCTGCCTCTAACCTAGTCTTTAGAAATTCTGGCATGTTTCTCAAGGGCACCATCATTCTAGGAAATTTCGGCTCCGTTGGCATTAACATTATATGTTCATCATTTAAAGCAGATGAAGATTGTTTCTTCCTCGTCGTGTCTTTTATACTAGTCTCCCAATTGCGAATAAATTGCTTAACACCAAGAAATCCAACAACTGCATCCCGCCGAGGAGACATTTCAAGAATGCATACAACACTACCAGTTGGTCGTTTTGATGCAAATGAATTCACTGCGGCACATAAATTTGCTAGCGCATCAGCAGCTTCATCCCCTCCATTAGAACCACATGCTTTATGACTATATGATTTAGAAGAACTGAGTCTGTTAGAATAACATTTATCTGACAACCCAACTGATTCTAGGCCAACACTTTCTCCATCATAATATCCATTTTTACATGCTACCAGACTGTTTCCCCCATTTGCATGGTTTAATCCCCCCGCAACCTCGCATTTCCCTTTAAGACTATCTTCAACTATATTGGCGGCTTCTTTACGCAAACTTTCTTTCACAGATATTGAGCTTTCCACCATTCCGTTCAAGCCTTTCATTTTAGACCATCGCGATGGATGATCCACTCTGATAGCGACAAAATCCCCGTCAATCTGCATTAAAATTAACGGGTTACAAGGAAATTTTAGATAACATTAAAGATAAAAAGGAAAACTCAAATGGCCGTGAGCATGCTACTGCAGATATGTATATATGCCTTAAATAACTTCCCGACAAAGGAATAGCACCAGTGACATCTACCTTATGGGGAGAGGATAAAAAAAGTACATGTGGCAACCTTCCAAAGAACAATTTCAGAAAACTACCAACAAATAAACCTAAGACATGAATTTCTAGTCCAATAACATCAGAAGCAATTTAAAGAAAGGAATCGATTAGGTTTACAACGTTCATATGATAAAAGACATCACATGCACAAAGCTTGAAAAGGAATCTCTCCTTCATTCTTTAAGGGATAGAAAATGCATGCGACTTTCTGTAGGGGGAAGAAGACCATAAAAACAATAAATGCTACTCACAACTTGGTTTATTTAAGCCCTAGAAAATCCCAAGGATTTTCTTCAAGCAAAAAAAAAAAAAAAAGGGTACATCAAAACAATGGATGGTACTTACAGCTCGGTTTTGAGCAACCAGTCCATAGATGAGAACATCAGTTGGCAGTCCATCAATTTTACAATAAGCCTGAAAATCACAATTTATTTCTTTGAGCTGAATGAAAGGCAAAACAATGTTCCAACATATATAAATATAAACAAGCACAAACAAGATAAAAAGAGCCAAAAAGATGCAGGATTCTACCTCATTTTTATTGTAAGCATTGACACGGAATAAGGCCTTAAACACGCTGCCTTTCTGCAAAATATGTACAATAAAAGAATATACGGATTATGATTTGTGCTAAACTTCCTTAATATGAGATAAAACATTATTGTTAAGTTATCAAAACAGAAAGAAAAAGCATTATCGTGACACACACCTCTAATGCTTTTGTGACTGCTTCTTCAGGCCAATGTGGAGTATACAATTTTCTCTTTGCGTGACCCTTGCTCAAATAGTGCGACGAAATGTCAGCTTCCAAATTTGAATCTTCTGACACTAAGCGACCAATATTTTCAGGACATGAGTTGAAAAATAATCTTCCATTGGTACCCGGTACAATACTTTGCGGATTTTCAAGGTTTGCATGTTCACATTGCAATCTATCAGTGGGCATATTTGGCAATGAATCGAATTCAACATCGGATGATGGTGATAGTTGATGATCATGAGATCCCACATCCCTAGAAGTACTCTTTCCACCAGAAGATTGTGTGTCCCTAACTGGTGTTGTACATATCGAATTGTCAGCTGTACCAAAGATGGGATTTTTATTAGCACCATTAGACCATTAATTAATGAATAAATACTTGGGTAAACCCCATAAAATAAACAAGTTCACAAAAACTGTGCGTTACAGGCTATGAACAAAAGTTTAGCAAATACTGAAAATTGAACAGTACAACAGTTCTCTTCAAGCACGTCAGCACCCACTTAACATAAAAGTTGCTCACTCTACCAGCAAGAACAATCCAACAACCAAAAGAGTAACTAAGTTTCAATATCGAGATGAAGGCACTAAAAAAAGACACAATCAAACAAGCGGTGCCGCAGCATTAACAAAGGTAACAGCGGCATAATCCAAACGAACTAAAACCCATGACACATTTATAAGATATAAATAATAAAAAGAAGAGGCTAAAAAAGCGAAGAAACCTAGACAAGTAGAATTCTGCTTGGTTCGTCTGGATCGCCGCTTCTTCTTCTTATCTTTGGAACTTGAAGAATTGCAGTTATCGGAAATATAGTCCTCGGACTGAGTCTGATTCGACTCAATAAACGCCTCTCCTGTCATCTTTTATATCCCAATTCTCTACAAATTAAGGAATGGAAAGAAAAACGATTCTCCAGCTTCACGGGGCAGAAGTTAAGGGGAAAAAAACCCTAAAGACAGGTGAAATCGGGCATCCCCCGTTTTATCAGCCAAAAATTTGAAAACGGAAGAATAACCCGATTAAGCCAAAATGGAAAGAAAGAGGACCCCCAAAGAAAAAATCGAGCACTGGGGAAACTACAAAGGGAAGTAAAGTATTTGTTTGGTATAATATAAAGGTTGAAAAAAAAACTCTAAAAACAATTAAAGAAGGGAAAGTTCTAGAGAAAAAAAAAAACGAAAGATAGTTAAAAGGAGGTTGGGTTGTGTGGTGGTGGGCGAGGCGGTGAGAGGAGAGGGAGAGGGAAGGGAAGCGAGGATTAAAGGGATGTGATGATAGTTTATTTGGTCGGCGGTAGAAATCGGCGCCGACTCTCTTTGTACTTTACTCTTCTTTCTTTCCCTCTCCATTTTCTCACTAATCTTTTCCTACATAGATCTTTCGATTTTTGGCTCATCACAGTATGGTTATTATCATCTTCAAACTACTAAATTAAAGTATTATATTTAATAACATGATAATTATTTATGGCCACTCATGATTAAATGAAACCACACGAAATTTCTTTATATGTAAATGGACCATCTATCATCTTGTTCCCGTTACTACCTATGTTCAAACATTATTGTCAAATTTAAATTTTTCACTTTCAGTTCAATTTTGTACTAAAAATAAATACATTAAGTATTGGGACGGAAGAAATATCAATTTTACTTTTTGGACTCTGAGTTTCATTGATTTTCTTGTGAGACGGAAGAAATATCAATTTTACTTTTTGTACTCTGAGTTTCATTGATTTTCTTGTGTTATGTTTTGCAATAATTTTGTGATCACATCATCATACACTCAAAATTACAAATCCTCGTGCAATAACTTGTAAAATTAACATCTGCCCCCAATATATCATTGTTCTTGTGAATGTAATTTGTGATGTGTACATTCTCCTTGGTAGAAAAACCCTAACTATTAGTGAGTATGATGGGCTCATGAAAAATATATCGAAGAAATCATTATTGGAGATGTTGAAATGAGATTTGATATCAAAGTATGATGGGTTCATGAGAAATATTTCGAAAAATCATTACTGGAGGTATTGAAATGAGATTTTGATACCATATCGTGAACTGGACTTTAAAAATTCGAGATAAGATCAAAAGGTTTTGTTCAAAAAATTTGCAAGTTCATGACCTCTTCATTCAACTTATCCGACAAATGTCAAAAACAGCAAAAACGTTCTTCTGATGAAATATTTTTAAGATTTTATTTTAAATTATAAGATTATACTAAATAAAATTTAGGATAAAAAGAAAAATCCACTCTTTTTATAAAGCATGACTATTCCTTTGTTCATCGTCCTCTTTTAATGTGCTTGGTCAAATTAATTATTTATGGGCCAAATTAACCAAAAAGAAAAAAGAAAAAAGATTTCATTATTCTCCTTTTAACTAACTATAATGAATGTCCTCCATGTATGTTGCTTGGGAAATTGCGGACAAGTACTACAGTCTATCAAGTGTTTTCCAAGTAACATAAAATGAAATTAAATAGAAAAAGAGAGAACAATAACGAGACACTATTATTCACCATATGTGAGATAATTATCATTTGTTAGTTTAATGTAGCAGTAACTTTTAACATGACAACTGCAGAGTATCTTTTTTTTTTTAAGGACACACATGAAAGTTTATAAACAATCTTAATCTCGTCTTACCTCTTGAAAATAGCAGCCACTTAAGGTACGTGATAGTTCCACAAAACATATTTTCCCTCCTAAACTACATAATTCAATATTACGTCATTTCATGTTAATTAAAAAAATAAAATTAAAAATTTAATTTACGTTCCCATCTTCTCCATATATACTTCAAATATGGTAAAATAGTATGCTAATTAATGTCATTTAATCCAAAATCCCTAAAACCTCTCAACCAACCTAATCTCTTTATTCAAATTGAAAAAATATGTAGAATCTTCAATCTTCATCAATTATTAAAATTAAAATTAAAATTTCTCCAACTTCCATCAATTAGTAAAAGGTCTAAATGCGGATCCAGCGGCGACAACATAAGTGAGAGGAGAAGAGAAAGTGCACAACGGTATTTCGGCGTCGTCAAGCTGATTGATAAGACCAAGCGAGAAGAAGAGAGGAAGCGTACAACGATGCATTTGGCAATCATCAAGGTGGTACTGGTAAGGAGGGCACCTAAGGAGTATTCATTAATTTTTATTCTTATATTCAATCCAATTTTCTTGAATAAAAAATATTATTTTATCAATGAAAAGTCAAAACTCCAAATCCTAATGAGTATTGAATCGAGATCTACTCTCAAGAAGTACAAATTATATTTTTATGCTAAAAATGATACATATATCAAAACTTAATATTAACTATTTATTTAAAACAGTGAGCATATTATTTCTCTTTTTAGTTACAAATTCATATAATAAACAACACCCGGGCAATAGTCCGAGCTGAGAATCTAGTGAAATTTTATATTTTAAGTAATACAATTAGTTATTTGTATTTCCATAAGTCACAATCATTTTAATGGATGAACTCATTATTCCTAGCATTTCCCTTTTTTGTTTGTTAGTTAATAAACTTTATTTGGCCTAATTAATAATATTGGATTATCCAATTAATTTAGTTGGACTATTAGCATTATTTAAATATAAGGTTTGATCCACTTTATAGAATTATCTAGAAAAGAAGGTGTAGAAACTAGTAGAAATATTCTAAGACTAAATCTAGAACTTGTAGAAAATTCCATGTAAATATCTAGAGAAATAAATCTAGATATTAGGATTAAATATCTAGATATTTAGAAAGAGTAATGGAAAATCTTGAAAGATTGTAGAATCTTCCATGCACTCCTATAAATAGGAGTTAACCCTCTAATGTAAAGTGTGTGTAGAGAAGGTGTAAGAGTTCATAAGCTAAGAACTTAATACAATCCCTTTGTTCCTTTTACTACAAAGTAATAAAGCTCCCTTTCTTCTGAAATTACCTTATTTTCATTTCTACTTCCTAAACCTATTACCAGAAAGGTTCATTTGCTAACAATCTGGTATCAGAGCTGGTTTTGATCCATCTTTGAAATAAGATGGCAAGTGGAATGATTACTTTCCAATTCCTTCAACTTACCATAGAAGACTATGGTAAGTAGTGGATTCAAATGAAGGCGATTTTGTACTTTCATGAGATTTAGGAGATCGTTGAGAAAAGTTATAAGAAACCTCTGGATGAGACTTCTTTGAGGGGGAACTCAACAAAGCAAGGAGGGAGGATCAACTAGCTCTCTCGCTTATCCATCAATGTCTAAATGATTCTATGTTCAAGAAGGTAGTAAATACTTCAAAGTAGGCTTGGGAGATTCTAGAGAACGCACATAGAGGCATTGAGGAGGTGAAAAAGGACGTATTCAAACTCTTAAAGGAGAATTTGAAGTTTTATAAATGAAGGAGTCCGAATCCGTTTCATATTATTGATCTCATGTCCTAAAATTTTTTTAATGAGATGAAGAGGAAAATAGAAGCTTGAGTGAAAGAGTGATAGAAAATATAGAAAAAATTCTTTGCTCTTTTGACACCAAACTTTAATTATATTATGGTGGTTAAAGAGGAGTCAAAAGATATAGACTCCATGACCATTGATCAATTCATGGGCACTTTGGTAGCCCATGAAGAGAAACAAAAGAAAAGGAGGCCCAAGGAATCTTTGGAGCAAGCTCTCTACACAAAACTCTCTTTCAAGAAAGACATGGAGGTTTTGGAGATGTCAGAGGCTTTGGACGAGGAAATGGTGGATTTCAAGGACATGGGCAAAGATGAGCTCGAGGTGTCTATGTTCTTTCCACCAAAGAGGACAACAACCAAGGTTCTCAACCTACAAGAGGTCGTGAAAGAGGTATGAAATTTTAGAAATGAGGTAAATCTTGAATCTAATGCTTTAATTGACAATGATATGGTCATTATGCACGTGAGTGTAATTTTAGTCAAGTAAAAGAGAAAGCCAATCTTATGAAGGTTAAAGATGAAGTTCAACTCACTCTCTTAATGGCAAGACACGAGGAAGAAGGAGAGAAGAAGACATGGTATCTTGACTCCGCTTCGAGTAACCACATGACTGGAGAAAAAAGGTTGTTCATAGATATAGAACAAGCCAAAGGATATGCGATGATAATTCTAGAGCAAGTGTTGAAGGCAAAGGTAAGATACTAATCCTTGCTAAAGATGGAAGTCACCAATACATCTCAGATGTTTACTATGTTTCAAGTCTCAAGAGTAATATCTTGAGCTTGAGACAACTTCTGGAGAAGGACTACAATATTCACTTGAAAGATTGTAGTGTCATCGTTAAGGATCCAAAAGGAAAACTGATCACCATTGTGACGATGACAAGCAATAGAATGACAATGGAGACAAAATCAATCACATTTTATCATGAGTAACTGGCAATAATCAACAGCTTTTGTCACTATTCTTGTATATATATATATATATATTTATATATAACTTTCCGAAGTTGATTGCATGCTTGAAAAAGCGGATAGTAACAAGCATTTTGTTGTCACCCACAATGACAAGTAGATATCAAGTAGTGTAACGATGATATAGTTTTATTTTCCAAATCTCGTATCGATTCTTTTCTTTGTTTTTTTCTGAAAAAAAGGTGAAATGTATTTCAATTCATATTTTTGCATAATCATTACAAATGTCTCATGATCTAGTTTAAGCAATAGCAATACTTCCTAAAACATATTGCTATAAAGTCCTCTCATATATCATTATTTTTTTTTTAGGCAATGAATACTACACTTTTTTTTTCTTTTTGCTGTGAATATATTCAAGATATTGTATACAAATTTTCACGAAGTATGGTGTAAAATAGTAATGTGTTACGTAATCATAGCTGAATGCATGATTGTTTGCTAAATGCGCTTTCATCAACAGTTGTAGGTTGCTCTGATGACCTGATGATTCATCTTTCTCTGAAGAAGAGGCTTTCCTCGTACTAGGACCTCTGGAAACTTTAACCATAACTGGTCTCAAAAGTCAATCTTGGAGAGTAAAACTACGCGTGGAAGTCTTGAATTATAATGCCCTCATCAAACTCTTCAGACTCTTCAGACACTTAGTAGTTCAAAGATTCGAAGTTTTTCCCGATGTTCTTCCCGAAGTTTTTCACGTTGGACCCTTTCCCTTTGCAAACTGTCTGACTCTTTGAATCTTCTAATCCTTTCCAGATGGTCTTCCCATTCATCTCCCCTGCGAGATCTCAAATTTTCCAAAGCGAACCGCAGATCAGCCCTTAATTGACTTAACCTATCGCCATGAGCAACTTTTTGAGCACTTTTACTGCCACGATCGCCATCTTTGAAGACGGACTTTGTGGTCTTCAATGGCTTAGAATGAATTGGATGTAATTCCTTCGCTTCACTGGTAATAGCAGACACACCCACAACGAGCGGATAGATCTCTTTTAATCCTTTGGACAAGTGGGGTGGTTCACCATATATTCTTTTCACCTTTCTAAAGGCCTTCGAATCTTTAAAAGTGATAGGAGGTTGATGCATACTAGGACAATCCTTTTCACCAAATAAAATTTCTGATGTAGTTTCTTCTGTGACCAGTCTAAAGAGTCTCATCTTGTGAATCTTAGTTATATATCATAAATATTAATCTAGTCTTTAAACCAAAATAATCACAATTAGTGAACTAATTGTATTTGTATCAATGGCTGGTAAGATAACATTATCCAAGGTATCTTTCAACATCAGAGCTAGAGCAAGGTTATTGATGTCTTTGGAAGAGCATGGAAAATGTGAAAATTCAATCACCTAGGATGCATTAAGAGCATCGTATCGACACCAAAAAAAAAAAAAAAACAACAAAATATCTTAGCAATCTCTAGGTGTGATTGTAATTTTTCTTTCAAAAAGTAATCCACCTTGTTAACATCATGAGTGGCCACTTATTATTTTTCTTGACTTCCAAAACATTTTTTTAGATGAAAATGAAGTAACAAGTTGAACACATGAAGAAAGAAAAACAATTAATTAAAAAAGTTACCACATTAGTGTTTATACGAAACAACCACTCGATATGAGTGAAAACACACCCCCTTGACCAAAATATGAAATATGGAAAAAGTCCCTAAAAAATGTAATCAGCATTTGAACGAAAAAAGAAGCTAAAATTGAAGCTAAATATCAATTTTATGCTTGCACATTTCTTTCTAACATGGTAAAGTAACAAAAACCAAATCAGGTCAAAAACATTTTATTACCACAACCTTAATTAAGAAATATATGAAAACTAGAAGAAAAATGACACGTTTTGATGGAAAACCAAGTTACAAGTCTCATACAAGAGTATCTTTTTGTTTTTAGCTTATTTAATCGCATCTACACATTACCTTGCAGCTTTTTATATACTCATTTTAAAAATTCCATAAGGTGTTGCAATTTGTTTACCCTGACATGGATGTTTTGAATATCCTTTTGAAAGGGTAATCAAAGTTCATAATTTATTTTTGTTGAACATTCAACATGAGAATTGTATAAAAGAATGCTTGAAGGATGATTTGTGGATTTGGCACATGAGGTATGGTTATTTAAATTTTGGTGACTTGAAATTGTTGTCTGCAAAATACATGGCGAAAGGATTGCTACCTATCAATCAACCAAATCAAGTATGTGAAGGATGCTTACTTGGGAAGCATTCAAGGAGTGTTTTTCCAAAAGAAGCAACATCAAGAGTTAAGGAGCCTTTGGAACTCATCCATACAGATTTGTGTAGCCCCATTTCTACACCATCCCATGGTAAGAACAACTATTTCATCCTATTTATTGATGATTTCTCTCAAAAGACTTGGATGTATTTCTTAAAGAATAATTCACAAGCCTTTGATGCCTTTAGGACATTTAAGGCTGTGGTGGAGAAAGAGTAAGGCTTAAAAATCAAAGCCTTAAGGTTTGATAGAGGTGGAGAATTCACATCAAGTGAATTCACAAAATTCTGTGAAGAATATGGGATTAGGCATTTTCTTACAACTCCTTACTCCTCGTAACAAAATGGAGTTGCGGAAAGGAAGAATAGAACCATTCTCAATATGGTTTGTAGAATGCTAAAGAGCAAGAAGATGCCAAAGGAATTTTGGGTTAAATTAGTTGATTGTGCAGTGTATCTACTAAATCGATGTCCCACGAAAAGTCTAGAAGACAAGACTCCACAACAAGCATGGAATGGGGCAAAGCCCACAGTGAATCACCAACGAGTCTTTGGGAGCATAGTATATATCCACGTTCCAAGTCGAAAGTGGTCTAAACTTGATGATCGAAGCGAGAAGCATGTCTTTGTTGGCGATGACAAGGAGTCAAAAGGCTATAAGCTCTACAATCCAGTCATGAACAAAGTTATCGTAAGTAGGATGTAGAGTTTGATGAATAAGGACTGGGATTGGAAGGTTGAAGGTGAAAAAGACTACGACTTCCTGTCATCCATCAATAGGAAGAAGAAAGTAGTAACACGGGTGAAAACACTCATCAACCTCAGAGTCCACGTCTACCCATTTCAAATGAAGAGACACAAAGGACGAGAAGAGTACAGGAGACCTATGAGGAAACAAAATGCATAGAGGCTCTCACAGTCATCTGTTTTTAAGATGACTATGAACCTTTAGGTTTCGAAGAGGCAACAAGGAGAGAGAAACGGAGACATGCTATGGATGAAGAAAAAAAATCCATAGAGAAAAATCAATCTTGGGAGCTAGCCTGTCTTCCAAAAGGCCAATAAGCAATTGGAGTAAAGTGAGTTCAAGGCAAAGAAGAACGCTAAAGGAGAAGTTGAGAAGTACGAAGCAAAACTCGTCACCAAAGGCTACAAGCAGAGGCGTGGCATTGACTACAAAGAGGTATTTGCTCCTGTTGCTCGCTTGGAGACTATCAGGTTACTAATTTCTATTACTGCCCAAAATAGATGGAAAATCTATCAAATGGACCTAAAGTCCCGCATTCTTAAACGGCTTTCTCGAAGAAGAAATATTGATAACACTAAAATATATACACTTTTAGAAGGTATTTCCTACTCATTTTTACTTAGAATTAGGTGTCAATTAGATAGAATTAGTTTACTTTTCGGCTGATTTTGCATTTCAGGGTGATCATAGGGCTAATGTGAATATTAGCATAAATTGGGGCCAAATTACACAAAAGAGCATAAAAAGGGACCAAATTGGAAGCTACTGGAAATCAAGAATTGGAGGATCGATCAGAGCTGAAGCAAGTGGAGGAATCTTGGCTGAAGAGGGAAGATTGGTAGCAGATGATCTCAATGGGAAGAATTTTGCAGCAGCAAACTCAATTGAGTAAGAAGAATTGGCAGCTGCTCTGCTGCCAAGTTGCTGCTACAGAAGCTGTTGCTGCTGCAGAAGCTGTTGTTGGTGTCAATCAGGAGGAGCCTCAACCTGAAATCTTGCTGCCCAAGGAAGGAGTTACTTCACCATCACTGCAAGATGTTGCTGCTGCAAGTGGAAGAAGAGAAAGAGAGAGAATATGTAGAAAACAGCAATTGCAACTCTGCTATTTACCTCCCGGTGCTGTTGCTGCTGACTGAACTGATAGGTTGGCTGCTGCAGATTGGTGAGCAATGATGCTGCAAGAGATCCCAGGAAACAAGGAAGGAAAGGGCAGAAGATTGAGGCTGAATTGGGGCTAAAAACACAATCATGAAAGGAAGTATGATGCTGATGTTGCTGCTTGCTACTGCTACTAGTTGTGTTGCTGAAGAATAAAGAATGAAGAAATGGAGATTTGTGGCTGAAAATTGGAGAAGCTGAGCCGAAGAAGAAGACTAAGAAGAAAAGGTAATGATGAAAGAAAGGTGGTTGATTACAGCTGAAGAGAAGGAAGACCCAAAGAAGAAGACATCAACTTGCCCAATTGGTAAGTTGCTGAATAAACAAATCTCAACAGCTGCAAGTTACTGCCTCACCTTTTTGCTACAAAGAAGTAGGCCAGATCTCAACCAATCTAAGCCTCTCCAAATCTCTATAAATAGTCAGCCAATAGCAGTTAGAAAAATAACATATTGGGTAGTTAGAATCGGTTCAAAGACAGTTTAGTTAGTTAAGTTAGTTTGGTAGAAACAAGGTAATAACAGGAGCAAAGAGTGCCGACTATCACTCTGCCAAGTGGCGAAGGCCACTCGCCAAATTGAGCAGACAGAACCTACCATGCTACCACTTTTCCCTTCTATCATCTAACTTTTTGATCTTAATCATGACTGATCTTTTGTACTTTGTTGCTCTCATGTTTAACTCAATAAACATGAGTAGCTAAACTTAGTTAGGGTCTAATCCCTACTATCTATATGTGAAGGTTTTGATTCAGTTTATTATATGAGGGTTTTCTAGTTAAGTGTTTAAATTAACCTTTTAATTGAACTGGCCATAATTGATAGTGCATGCATAGTTATGGAGATCTGAGAGGGGGAACATAACTTTAGAACTGCTTAAACTAGTCTATGACAAAGGAGGAAATATACCATTTGGTTTCAATCATCAACGAGAGTTAGGTGCATTGGCATAGGTGATTAATAAGGCTTAAGAACTCAATGGCTCATATTAATGAATTACTCTAACTAAGAGGTAGGTAATTTGGTTAATCTGAGACTCTTTATTCTGTATGAGAGAAAATTGTAAAGAATATAAGTGTCTGATCAAACAATAAATTAATCATATGTAACAAGAACTAAAAGGATCAAAATCGAATCATATAGATAGGAAGGTGATTAGCCCTTCTGCTCCTTCATTCTGTCAAGTGACTATTCTTACTCTCCCAAGTGACAAATCTGTTCAGCTTATTTTCCTTTGTCTACACATAAATCAGATTTTAAGCGGTTAACTGCCGTCTCTGTGGAATGGCCCTGCTTACCACTAGCTAATAGTTTTAACTAGGTATTTATTTGTTTTGGGAGTGTCAACGATTCATTCACCAAATAAACGTGGAGTCGCTAGAAGAATATGTGGTCAAAAGTCATGAGAATAAAGTTCTCTGGCTGAGAAAGGCTCTATATGGTTTGAAACAACCGATAGTCACATTGTCATCATGTGAGACCGAGTACGTTGCGGTAATATCTTATGTATGTCATGCTATCTGGCTCAAAAACATGTTGAAAGAGTTAAATATGCCAGAAGAACAAGTGAACAGATATCTATGTAGATAACAAATCGGCCCTTGATCTAGCAAAGAATCCAGTCTACCATGATTGAAGCAAGCATATTGATACAAGGTACCACTTTATAAGAGAATATGTGGCCAAGAAGATCGTTGAATTGAAGCATACAAGATTCCGTGATCAAGTTGCAGACATTTTTACTAAATCGCTTAAAAGAAAAGACTTTGCAAGATTGAGGATGATGCGTCGAATCACCAAATCAAGTTTAAAGGGGATGTTAGTTAATAAACTTGATTTGGCCCAATTAATAATATTGGGTTACCCAATTAAATTTGTAGACTATTAGTATTATTTAAATATAAGATTTAGTCCACTTGATAGAATTTTCTAGAAAAGAAGGTGTAGAAACTAGCAAAAATATTTTAAGAAAAATTCTAGAGTTTGTGGAAAATTCTGGGTAAATATTTAGAGGAAAAACTAGATATTAGGACAAAATATCTAGATATTTAGAAAGAGTAGAAAAAGTCTTGAAAGATTGTAGAACCTTCCATGCACTCTTATAAATAAGAGTTAACCCCCTAATGTAAAGTGTGTGTAGAGAAGTTGTAAGAGTTCATAAGCTAAAAGTTTATTACACTACTACACTCTGCTTTTTTTCTTTTTACTATAAAATAGTAAAGCCCATTTTCTCCCAAAATTACCTCCTTTTCGTTTTCACTTCCTAAACGTATCACCTAAAAGGACTTATTACCCAAAAAGTTCAGTTGCTAACATTTTTTACCTATCAAAGAAAAAAATTCCATAAAATATAATAACAATAATTAAACTAAAAAAAAACTCCATCTCATAAAAATATCTTTTCATTTAGTGGCTAAAACTAATAAAATAGATAGATTTTTTATTGAGCTCCTCTAAAAATTATAGATTATCATGCGGGGCTTAAAAATTCTAATATCTTATAATAAGGATCGAAGGGAGTAGATATTACAGTAGTTGTTATAGACAATGCGTTACGATACTAAATTTGGACTTTTGTTTCGAATGTGACTATGGACAGACTGATAGGAATTATTCCAAATCATTATTTTTATTACATTAATTTTTGTTAAAGAAGAATAGTTAGTTTTAATCTTTGGTTATGCAAAAAAAAAGTAGTTTTAATTTTTTTATTAGATTATTATTGTTGTTGTTATTATAATTAATTTTGTTGTAATGGCATCTGAAATTCGTAAAAATGATCCAGTGTCATACTTAATAGGCGAGGTTAAACTTTTTCCCAAAAAAAAATATAAAAAAACAATGGAGGTTAAAAAGGGTTGGGGATTGGGGGAAGAAAAAGAATAGTAAGTGTAAGAGGCACCGACCAATTATAAACAGCACAAAGCAAAACCGACAACAAAAATGGTAAAAACCCGCTATACAATGTACAAAGTACTAGTATTTTTGTGTGTGTTGAACTTGAACCGTGCGTGCATGGGTTGTTCAGACAAATAGGCCGTTGAAGATTAATCCCAGAATCAGAATCCATCCAGTTTGGAGGAATACGTTGATGACATAAGTGTGTGCATCGCTACAAGCGAGCCGATGGTTATGGTAAGTACAAACCGGCTGTTTCCTGCACATATATAGTAAAATGGGAAGGATTGATTGGTTATGCAAAACTAAAGACAGAGAATTCATTTCATAAATGTAGATGGGGAGGATAATATAATATACCTGGAGGAGCAGAAAGAGATGACATAGTCGGTACCGGAGCAAGTAAAGATACTGGTGGGATCATCATAGGCGTAGCTATAAGCCGCCGGACACGCCTGCTTGAATCCTTTGGAATATGACGTGGGTTGACACGTCACCGGGTTGCCGTACACTCCCCGGCAACAATACTCATCCGTACTGAACACGTCGCAGGCGCTCCGGCAGCCCGCTACCCTGCCGTTCACCCTCACGCTAAGCTCCGGCGGGCAATTCCTCCTCAAGTCCGCGTCACACCCGGCCACGCTGCAGTTTCCTCGGCCGTTGATCGGGGTCACGACCACCGGCAAGTTGAATCCATCCACCAGGCTGACGTCGTAAAAATCGGGAGATGCGATGGTGATTTCCGCAAGGGTGGCTGGGGTGCTGCCGGAAGCACCGCCGCACTTCAGGGAGGTGCCGCAACTGCCGGTCACGCACGTCCCGTTGCCGTTGCGGTCGAAATTACAGCCGGTTCTGGCCCATATCCTCCCGGACCACGATACCGGAGCCGTGAACAGAACTGATTGACCTGCTCTCAGTGCGAAGCCTCCGCCATTGAAATTGTCTGCGGCGGCGGGGGTCACGGCTGGCCAGATTGTCTCTTTGCAATTGTTTATGATGGTAAACACTCTTGCGCACTCTCCTAATCTTGCCCCTGCATCCACAACCATCATGTTTATAAAGTAGTAATACAGAGTCTAATTAAAAAAGAAAAGGAAAGAAAGATTAATGCAAAATGAAATTATTCTAGTAAACAAAAAGATCGTTGGGAAAAATGAATGACCGCCACTTCTTAAGTTTTACTACTAGATGTAACAATACCATCACAAATTATTAGAGAGATGAGTAGTGTGATATGGTCTGTTTATGAACCAAAAATACTTGCAGGAATGATTAAATATACAGTCAGTAACCATATACGTAATTAATACGTATATATATATGTATATATAAATAAGATGACATTGCTGGTTTACAAAAGTGGTGAACACGATGCTATTTTTTTTGTTCTAGAAAATTATTTCACTTTATTAATTTAAAAAAATTCAACAAAACTAGCCTCTTTGTCCCTCCTTCTCCTGATCAATCGAAGAGAGTGTATGCATATAAAGATTTTCAATTGTATGAAGATGGAGAAAATATTTGGCCAAAATAACGTAACATGCATTGGACGATAATGTAAATGGAGTAAGCAAACAGTACCTAACAATAGAAGAGAAGTGCAGAAAACAAAAAGAAGTTGAGCTGGATGTGTCGCCATGGCTATTACGCGAACATATAATCTTAAGCCTTGGGATAATAATCGTTGAGAGAATTAGGGGGAAATCGAGATAGGCGTTGTATAAATTCATTCGTCAATTGGGGGTGTAACAAGACAACACACAAAAGGAATAAAATAGAAAACCAGCTGAGAAAGTTAACTTTTTTTGGTTAAGAAAGTAGAGAAAGACAGATTCTTGTCCCAACGCGACTTGAACAAGGGATTATAGATTCCATCCCGGCCGCCCCGTTAAATTAATTACGTACTGATGGGGTTTATGCAATTTGTGGAACTGAAGTAATTAGATCCATTGTTTGAGTTTGAATCTTGCTAGCTAGCTGCTCAATATTAATCGTCGATCGCATCGTGTCTTGCTTTACAAGAATTCTGTAGAATGTGAGTATAATTTGAAGACCATCAAATATCCACACTTGGATTCGGATAGCAAAACGTAGTAGTAGAAGAATATATATATAGAGAGAGAGAGAGCCAAGTCACAAAATATATATATTCTCTCGTCCCAAAATTATTGTCAAATTTAAATTTTTATTTTTAGTATAATTTGAATTAGAAATGAAAATCACATTAATAGTTATGGGATGGAGGAAGATCCCATTCATTCATTGAACCATGCACGGGGACGAACAACTTCCACTGCATCTAGTATATACCACTAATTGAGGGGAAATTTTGATGACTCCGTGGGCTCTGTTTATGGAAGAAGCTAATAAATTAAGCATTGATATTATTGCCTATCGTACCTACAAGGAAGGAGTCCTGGCTTTATTGCATGCCCCCTAAATTAGATATTCCTGATTCTTTCTCAGCATCATCACTCATCAGAAACGAATGAATGATCTCCGCCGAGTTGGTGATGATGATGACAAGGAACTCGCGACTTCTTTCAATTCTGTTTTCTTTGTTCCGTTATTTAATTATTATTATTATTTTCAATTGGAGGCGAACTAATGGGAAATTCCGATGATGTGCCTCCTAACGTCGGAATTGGGCACCCTTAGTAATGATCATTTAGTACGGTCACCACGGTTTACAGTAGTCCATGATATCACCATGAATGTTATGAAAGACATAATATTTATCAGTTACTAACTTTGATTAAAAAAATAGTCCAACATCAATTTGAAAAAAAAATAAAATAAAAATCAATGCGTTTTTTGGGGACTGGAGAAGGACTATTTGTTTCCTGGAGGTAAAAAAAAAATTCAAATGAAGAAGAAAGAAAAGCCGTAATAACATAAGAAACTATATGCAATAGAGAAGAAATTAAGTTGACCGAAACTCATCTTCTACAAGAAATGAGACTGAGAGTTCATTTCTTATAGCCTAAATAAGGATCTCACCAGAACTATATATATCGATAAAACTTTTGGGGGATGAATCGACCCTTTTGCATATGGGGAGAGGTTTCATTTCTCAGCTCAAAAACTGGTTCCTTCTCTTCAATCCTAAAGAAGACAAAATACTAGTAATATTGTAATCGCCATATTAATTGAAAATGCTGTCATCGCCAATTCCAGTAACCTACACAAACCATTGTTCCATAGTTAGCAATGTCAACAAATGTGCATTCAGGTCTTCTTCTCTGCAGGTCTGACTTCTTTTTCTTAATTTAATTATATCAATATGGGGGTGATGAAGCTTGCATTTAGGATCATTTTCGCCTTGAATATCAAAGGCACCAAATCTAATTTAGTATATAGCTCCCTATGCATCTAAGACGACCAGACTTGACATTATTAAGATATTGAAGTTCAAACTTTAACATCAATGGACCCAAAGAAAAATTAACCCCCAACAATATTCAGATTCCATAAAAAAAAAAAAATCACTATTCAATAGCCCGAAGAGCTATCAAAAAGAAAAGAGCTGACGAACCAAATAATAAACCACCCTAAAACCAAGCAATAATGAATATTAGTGATAGGCATGATAAACTGAGAAAGCAAATGATATTTACTTCAACCCCTCCACCCCCGCTTTTTGCATAAATTAACCATGAATTGAATCATGGTGATAATGATTTTAAAGAATAGGATGGTTCTTACTTCTTACAATGCTAAAAAGCAAACTTGTAGCTTTTATCCACATGATGATGTTTGTTTAGTACGTACGACTAGCTAGCATTAGAGTAGACCCAAAAAAAAGTAGTCCTTCACAAAACTTGTATCTCTAACGTAATTAACAGCAAAATATAAAATGAACACCAAAGGTGTTACTTAATAGTAATAATCTTTACTTTAGAGACTAAACCGGTTGGCACACGAGTGGCCTTAATGATGTTAACCACCAAACCCCACACAAAGTAATCATTTCTCCACTCTTTCAAAAAACCAACATTTATTAGGTACTCGTGACATTCTGTACTAGCCCATTTCTTTTGTTTTGTAAATTAAAGCCTCTCAACTTAGAGAACAAAATGCCTTCGTTTGATTTATTTTTCCCCTCATCCTTAACTATTTTCTGCCGGGTGTTTATTATTATCAATCAATACGTTTAGTTCTTTAAAGTAATTAATTTGCATTCATCAAATTATTCCAATGAAAAAAATAAATAAAAGAGGCAGAAAAACTTGTTAAGAAAGAAAGAAAGAAATGAAAAAGCGTGTGTATAAGGGGTGGGTGGGTCATCCCGCTCGTGCGATCATGAGGGGCATGGTCCGTTAACTGGGAGTATACCCACACAAATTTTAGAAAAGATGATGGGCAAAGAAAAGTTCTTCATTGGGAAAAAAAAAAGAAAAAAAAAAGAAGAAGTTCTTCAAAAGGAACTAAAAGCTTTGTGGTATAACAGCAGGTACATTGAAGAGAAGACTAATAATTATGATGAAAAATTCATGTCAAAAAGTTATTTCTTCTTTGTGTATGTCAAACTTTTGCTTCCGGGCTTCCCCCCCCCCCTCTCTTTTTTTGTTATTATAACAAAAAGACGCAAAATTTCAACAAGACTAGATTCCCTTATAATTTATTGTATCTTACTTGAGTTTGTAATAGCAAATCAAGAGATAAAATTTATTTTGTCTAAGCGAGAATCACTATTGTTCTAAGGGGGAAAGAAGAATAGTAAAACTTCAACGTGTTTTATGGACGCATCTGTAGGTACCTATGAAAAATACTCCCCCCGTCCCATAATTATTGTCCATTTTGGATTTTTATTTTTAGTTCAAATTGTATTAAAAATGAAATCTCAAACTGGACAATAATTTTGGGACAGAGGGAGTACCAAATTAATCAAGAGTATTGTAGTATTGACAAAGAAATAAAAGCCAATCAAGGGTATATAGATGCATCTGTAGATGATGAGCAAACGATTCTTTAGTGGAAAATTAAGAAGAATTTTGGTAGTGTCTCAAGTTCCGAAATGGTTTACCGGTTTTTGTACAACTAGTTTTTACTACCACAACTTTGAGTGGGGAGAGTAACAGGTGATAGGTAGTTTGTTTATTTATGAATGAATAATTTTGCTAGTAGTTAATAAATATCCTTAATATTAATGATTACTGGTTTGACAAGAGGGGATTTTTTTTCAATCCTCTCTTCTCCCATAAAACTTTACAAAAGTGAGATCTCAATGTCTAAATTCAATGAAATTCAAAGAAAGACTACTTTGGAGGTTCAAAGGATGGACCCCGATTTAGTTAGGGCCTCAAAGGTTAGAAAGTAGTAGTAGTAGTAGTATTTGGTAGAGAGATTATAATAAAGTCTATCTCATTTCCATTTGGCAACAGAAATTATAAAACTCACTGACTCACTCCAAAACAGAGATCTCTCTTACTACTACGTTTTATAAAGCCAGAGTTGCTTCTGCTACTACCGCTTGAAGGCGCTGCTTAGTCTTACCTTCACAACCCAAAAAGCCATGGCTTCAGAGAAAGTTGAAAGTATCATCGCCGGAAGCTACACGGAAATGGAGAGGGAAGAACAGAGCAATTCCATTTCCAGCTCCGCTAAGAACAGAATTTCTAAGTTGTTTTGGCACGGTGGTTCAGTTTACGATGCATGGTTCAGCTGTGCTTCTAATCAGGCAGGCGCTTCTTTTTTTTTTTTTCTTTTTGGTTCCTCCATCCATCACTGACAAGTGACAATCATCACCTCTTCACCATTTTTTTTCGTAGATTGCTCTGTAATTGATTTGGTTTGGTTTGATTTTCCAGGTTGCTCAAGTGCTACTAACACTGCCTTACTCATTCTCGCAACTGGGGATGGCATCGGGGATCGTATTCCAACTGTTTTACGGGCTGATGGGAAGCTGGACAGCCTATCTTATCTGCGTCTTGTACATTGAGTACCGCACCCGAAAGGAGAGGGAAAAAGTCGATTTTCGAAACCATGTCATTCAGGTAAACCGTACCATACAACTACTGCTTGCTAATAGTTTCAGAGAATCAGTTCAGGTACCACAGAAAAGGATTAATAAAATCTCTTTTGTCTTCTCCTTCTTGTGTTGTCACTGAAGGAATGCTCGAATTAATATTGGGACACAAACAAACACTTAATTTAAAAAAAAAAGATTTATTTTCTGTTTTCATCCAAGTGTTTTTTGATTGCGCGCTTCAGTGGTTTGAAGTTCTGGATGGGCTGCTAGGAAAGCACTGGAGAAACATTGGCCTCTTTTTCAACTGCACATTTCTTCTATTTGGATCTGTAATCCAGCTTATTGCATGTGCCAGGTTTTTTATGTTTCTCTCTTTCTCCTTAATTTTCCCAACTTCAATCAGCCAGCTGTCTGCTTGATCATTCTTCTTCGTCTTCTCCGTTGATCTGACAGCAACATCTACTACATCAACGATAATCTTGACAAGAGGACTTGGACGTATATCTTTGGAGCCTGTTGTGCCACCACTGTGTTCATTCCTTCTTTTCACAACTACAGAATTTGGTCATTTCTTGGTCTCCTCATGACTACTTACACCGCTTGGTATCTCACCATTGCTTCCTTTCTTCATGGACAGGTAAATTCACCATAATACTGCCACTACTACTACTACTACTACTTTTTTTTAACTTCGTGAATTGCCATTACATCTGCTCTGTTTTCTCTTTCTGAAATGATCTAAATTAATTATCAAACCCCAAATTTCTGTGTTAACCAAAAGATAATATATCCTTCCGGTCAATCTTGTGCTCCAAATATCTCTTCTCTACTTCTTCTTTTTTTTTTTTATGTTTTTCCCTTTTACTCCCTCTGTCCCAAAATTATTGTCCAGTTTAAGATTTCACTTTTAGTACAATTTGAACTAAAAATGAAAATCCAAACTGGACAATAATTATGGGACGAAGGGAGTATAATTTTTTAATAGAGAGATCAATAGGAATTTCTCACTCATCTGTCGTACCCAGCTACGTGTAACTTATTATTAGAAGGAAGCGAGAATTTTTTTTTATCACTATGCTACATCTCTCGTTGCTTGGCCGTCAAAATATCATATTTGATCAGAACACTAAATGTTACGGTTTGAAAAGAATTTCAAAATGTCTAGAACTGGAGAACCGGCATGAAGGACTAGCGAGTAGTTTTTGGTGAGTTTGTGTCTCGTGTTTGCTTTGCAGCTGACTTTTTAGACATTGTTAATTCTAAACAAGTGGTAAATTGTACCAAAAGTGTAGCTGATCTTATTCTAACAAATAATATCGTCTTTTAAAGTACTCCCTCCACCCCGAAATGATTGTTAGTGATTTCGGGACACAAGAAACAGTAAAATGAAACGGTAATCATTTTATTTTGGGGGGTTGTTTTCTTTTCCAGATTGAAGGAGTGAAGCATTCAGGGCCAACCAAAATGGTGCTCTACTTTACTGGGGCTACCAACATTCTTTACACCTTCGGTGGCCATGCTGTGACAGTGTGAGATTTCTATCCTTTTTTTTTTTGCAGAGTGGCAAAAAGTTAAGAGTTTTGATGATTTAATACTATTTCTTACCTCTTTGATAGTCTTCGTTTTTTCTCGCATCATACTATTATCTAACTGCTACAGACACAGGAAGCAGTTAAATTATTGAATGAAAGCCCCTTTTAGGAATGGGAACCTCCTTCCTGAAATGCCTGCTTCCTTCCTCCTCTTTTATCTTGTAATGAAGAATCACACTCGAGTTGATGTGATCTTTTTGTCCCCTTCCTTTTGTTGTATTTTTCAATAATTGCTGTTGAAATTATATAACATACTTTTACAATGTTGATTTTGATTCGGACATACTCCAAAGATTGCACAATTTCTTTTTTCAAAGAGTCTGTTTGGAGTTTTTTTTTCTTCGTATTTTCATCGTTTTGCGGTTTGTCCAATTTTTGAAGTATATTAATTTAGTTTTATCTATTTCACAAAAAAAAAAAATCCATTAATCAGGGAGATAATGCATGCAATGTGGAAGCCACAGAAGTTCAAGCTCATCTATTTGGTCGCAACAGTGTATGTGCTAACCTTGACGCTGCCATCAGCAAGTGCTGTGTATTGGGCATTTGGAGATTTGCTCCTTAATCACTCCAATGCTTTGTCTTTGCTCCCAAGAACTGGTTTTAGGGACACAGCTGTTGTGCTCATGCTCATTCATCAGGTCTTACCTTATTTTGGGACAGGCGTATATGTTTTTGGTTTTTTTTTTTTTCCTTTTTAATACCGAGATATTGTTATTCATACAACCATTTTGGTGTGCACGCAGTTCATCACATTTGGATTTGCATGTACTCCATTGTATTTTGTGTGGGAGAAACTGATTGGAGTTCACGAAACAAAAAGCTTGTTCAAGCGAGCCCTGGCCAGACTGCCGGTGGTGATTCCGATTTGGTTTCTCGCAATTATTTTCCCTTTCTTTGGACCAATCAACTCCACAGTTGGATCTCTTCTGGTTAGCTTTACAGTTTACATCATTCCTGCTTTAGCCCACATGCTCACTTTTGCTTCTCCAGCTGCAAGAGAGGTACGCCCTACCATCACCTATTTTCTCTTTTTCTTTTCCTCTTTTTTTTTTTAAAAAAAAAATAAAAAAAGGAAAAAATTATAAGAACTATTTTGCTGTTAGTTACTTGCAAGAAAGTTTGGATATAAATTGGTTTGAATGTCTCTAATTCGGGATGTTTGATTTAATATTGGAACAGAATGCGGTGGAAAGACCACCAAAATTCCTTGGAGGCTGGCTTGGCTTATACTCAATGAACGTATTCGTTGTGGTTTGGGTTCTGGTGGTAGGGTTCGCCTTCGGAGGATGGGCAAGCATGGTCAATTTCATACATCAAATTAATTCCTTCGGTCTCTTCACTAAATGTTACCAATGCCCTCCTAAAAAGCCATGATCAATTATGTGTGTAATTAATCAATTATTACTTTTTACTTCACATTTTTATTACCGTTGTTATTATGATTATAGAAACACAACTAGGGTTAAGGACATTTACAATTTAGTACGGTGCATTACTGCATTACATTACTACCGTGTAAAGTGGTTTTATCTTCCCTTTTTTTTGTAATCTTCTATTTGGAATAGGCAATCGCCATTAAAATGTGTGTTGACTATTTTTCTTGTTATAAATGTTGCAAATACTTTAAATAGATTACGACCAAGTCATGTCAGTTCATTTTGTTCCCCACACATTATTTTTTTGTGTGTTGTTTTGCTTTTAGATAAACAAAAACCCCATTTTACTACACTCTCTGTGACATGGTTTTGCCATAGGTGAACCTAAACCATGTTTCCGTAACTTTTCTCCTTTTTGACCAACCAAACATTTCAAACCCATGGCAAACAAGGCTAAATGTAGGATGTAAACATGAAAACAGTTTCACGAAGTCTTGATTTGTACCAACTAGTAAAATATCAAAGAAAAGAAGTATCTCCCGAGTTTTATCAATATTTTACATACCATGAAATTTTGATTTAACTTTTATCCTTTTTACTGGCAGTGCAGTCTGGTAAATTAGATGACACCAAAATCTTGACTTGTGGAATGAATGTTGGATATGCTGAAAAATTTAAACATAAAACTGAGTAACCACATTCCAACGGGGCACAACTAAGCAAAACAAACACCGTTACTGGCAAAAAGGATTCGTGCCAAATCAAATGATAACCACAAATTATACCCTAGAACAATTCCCCAACATGCGATACACTGTCAGTTAACTGCATATGCTTTGCACCTTAACAGTCTGAAGGCAATCAAACTCAAGCAATCCAGTACAATTAAACAAACAAGCAGCTCTGACGATAGAGGTTGTCGGCATTAGAAATCAAAGGAGTTCACAGGATAAACCCCTGAGATATTCCACAGGTTACAGCCATAACAACAGTTCACAAATACTTTAGTAACAGAAATCTGTGACGAATATGCACAAAATGAAGTATAAACTTTAAAATTAAAATTATCTCCAGCTCAGTCACCTTTGACACACAGAAATTAGAGTGCTTCAACCTCCGCAGCAAGAACCACATGCAGGGAGAGAGCCTATATAATAACCAAAAGCCAGCTAATTAAATCACTGAGCCAATATATAAAATACCATTTAAGAGCTTGGAGTTTTCTCAACCACACCCACCCCCTCCCCAAAAAAACCAAAAAAAAAAAAAAAGAAAGCAAAAACTTACTATGGTCAATGCCCCGAACATTGTCCATTCCACGCGGACCTCCACGAGGACCTCCGCCATATGGGCCACTTCCGGGGCCTCCAGGGCCACCACCATCCCACTTCTTGCTGGCGCCTGAGCCTTTCTTGTATGCATCTGATTTCTCCATCTATTAGAATCAACAGAAAAAGATCAGTGTGCTGTGCAATGACGGGCAAGAAAAGATGGTAAAGAAACTGAAAAGAAGAGATAGGAGTGATAAATACCGAGAACATTGTAGTGAAAAACACTCGAATGAAATTGACAATGCCCCAGAAAAAGTCAATGAATGTTCTCAATCTCCATAAAGATCGTTTGGATTTAACAACACCTGAAACATGGATGTTACGAGAGAGGCATTTCACAATCGATTTCTTGCTCTATGCATTCCCCAAATTTCCCAAAAAAGGCGAAGAAATTTTATTTTCTGGGGGTAAACAAAGGCAAAGAAACTTTGGTAATTATGACATAAGAAGCAAGCCATTTGAACAGAAAGTGGTGATTACTGAAAAAAAAAATCAGATTGCAGCAAAAAGGTTTGGTTCAATTGAATTTATTAAATGAAGATGCAAAGTACCACTGAGATCGTATACCTCAAAGCCAAACCACATCAGATACGGAATTTTCTCATATTTTCTCTATGGAAATAGATAGAGTATGAATTAAGTACAAGCTCTGAGGTTGTGGTGACTACAGAGTTTCACACTAAAGTATCTCGGACTACAAGTAACCCAAGTCAATGATAGACTACTAATAAGGTGTGCTACCCACTCTTTCTTCAACAGCAGGGTTCCAGGATGCGGTTATAAGTTATGCTTCAACATAAACTATAGAAGCCTTGATTAAAATCTGAAAACTTCACCTAAGCAGGTTATATGAACAGTGTCCACAGAATTCAATGAAATAATCCTCATGAATATGCAATAGGTGTACCCTATAAAAAATATTGAAAGGACAAAAGAAATACCAAATTGATCACAAAAATGATTTTCCTAAAAGTAGATGAGTCCTGACAAGATTCACTTAATCCACAGTTGAACAATAAAAAGGATAAGAGGCAGGCAAATTGCCCCTTTCCTTAACCTTCTACAACCCAGCTCTAAAAAATTAAGAGAAAATAAAATAAAATTCACACCACATAAATCCAACAGAAGATTATATATTTTTCCTCTTTCGCTAATTAATTTAGTTCATAATAACCATGAACTGATCCATCCATACATGATCCACCTAATTCAAGAAATTCACCTGGATCAATCCCCCCAAATTCCCCTCGAGTCAGATAGCTTTCAGCATCTCCATAGGCAATAATACTACACATTAGCTCCCCCCAAAACCCAACACCCCCAAGAGAACATTGAAAACCAGCAGCAACAAGAAGGATTCAAATCCGATAATTACTCAATCTTCTGGGATTTAGCAGAAACAACAAACCAAATATTCATCAAAATAAAAAGAAAAACTGAAATCAAATAATTATGAGCATAATCGATGGCAAAAGGTATGTAATCGAACCAATCAGCCAAAGTATCACTAAATTATATATTAAAAAAAATAAGAAGAAGAAGAAACAATAAAGACGATTTTCAAAATGAGGTCCGGAAATTTACCTCTTTCTACGTACGCCATTAGAGGAAATAGATTTTCTTCTTGTTTTTGTTAAAGCGTTTGAAGGAGTCCCAGTCTGCCTCTGCCCTTTTATTTATATAAATATTGTTCTACGAGGAATGATTTTATAAAAGATATCAAAGTCAAGGAATGATTTTATGGAAGAAGAAGAACAATAGAGAGTCTTCTGCTTGTTTTCACCGTTTTCCGAGGAAAATATAGCTGGCGTGTTTTTTTGACAAGTAATATGCTGCCATGTCACGAAACTCCAACACAGCAGGTTACGTGGCCATTACACGTCAAATTCCGTTTTTTTTTAACAAAAATAAAAATAAAAATACTCTTTCCTTTTCAAACTCATTCAGTACTTAAACTTAATTGATTAGGTGCTTAATTGATTCCCACTGTTTGATCACACAATCTCGTAACAACTTAATTGATTAATAACTTAAATCTTAAGTGTGTTTGATAACTCAAAGTAGAATGTATTAATCAATTAAGCGAATTTGAAATGCTAGTACAAATGTAAGTCTAAAAATAAGTGATAGGCCTATTACTTATGTTTGAACTGAATTCTTACGATAATTTTCTTTTCCTGTTCGCTTACTTTTATATTTGTACTTTTAATGATTGATCTTGAAACATTTTCATTAATCTTGGTGTTTAGCTATTAATTTAAAATTACATAATTTTTATAATGAATATGTATTTATTTTTAATTAAAAATTAAAATACGAATAAAGTCCATGATAAATATATATTTACAACAAATATATGATTTTTTTTTGACAATGATAAAGATATGATATTATTATTAACTGAAAAAATAATTATATAATATCATTTAAATATTTTTATTACATAATTTCATAATAATACTATTATTTTTATTATCATAGTTTTATATACATCAATTTTTTTAAGAAAAAAATATAAGTCGAGATACTTTAAATTTCAGTGTTCAGACTTCAGATTTCAGATACTTTATTCAGTCTTCAGATTTTGATTTTTATCAAACAAAACAAACTTAATCGGTTCAGTACTTATAGTTCAGTCTTCAGATTTCAAACTTCAGAACCAAATTAAGTTTTATCAAACGGGGCCTAATTTTATCTATAAATTTTCTAATATATCCCACAACTATCTCTGAAATTTAGAACATTTAATTGAATCTCTCCCAATCTCACCATATTTACTACCAACCCTAAACGTTAATAAGGGCATATTAGGTAAATAATTCAAAAGCTAACTATTTAAACTATATTATTCACTTTTTCTTAACTTCTATATTTGTCTAAATTGGTCTATTAAATTGGAATGGAGTAAATAATGTTCTATTTTTTTTAAAAATAGTAATGATCTAGTTTTGATTTTCACTTATATTGTAAAATGTCATGCTAGAGTGCTAGACTATCATTTTAGACTGATGAAGGAGAGATTAATACTAATAATAAAACTTAATAAAAATCTCGATAAACCTTTACTCATTGAATTATATAGGTTCATTTGAAATTGCTTGACACCAAATTAATTACATCCTTCAATTGATAAGTGGCAAATTACTTTTCCAATCCTTAATATTTCACCCTATTATAAAGATACCCTAGAAAGCGTTAAGAAATTTTATATATCGTTTTTGTTTTTTATTTTAATCTATCTAACATTTGTTCTGTCTGATTCAGTTTCTCTCTATTATTGTCTCTCTTTGAAGTTTCATAAAAATTGTTGAATTTGAAGCTACCGCAAAAGTTTGATTGCATACCTTATTAGATCAAATCCAAAACAAATTATGATATATCATCTCAATATTAGTAAATTTGTATCACGCATGAAATAGAGTTGTCGCGTGCATTGTTCTTCTTGTTTGTACTTTTATACTGGCATTCTGACCGGAGATTAAACAACAATTCTTGAATAATTAAATAAATAGGCAAACTGTTAAATTGACTTCCAAATTGATCAAAAGAACCCGAAATAACAAAGCCTGTCTATATATTTCCGCCTGCAGGCGTTAAAATAAAAATTAAAAAAAAAAGAAGAAGATTCCAATCAGAAAGGTGTATCTCCTATAGTCTATTATTACACATTAATATCAAGGAAGAACGTCTTCTGGGCTGAACACATCTTCTTACAAGAAACAGACGTTTTTCATCTCGTTTGATTTCGATTTTCCAAAGCCACAAAGAAAAAGAATACATGTCTTTCGAATGACATACGGAAACAAACTGATTCCCAACCCTCCAAAAATGATTCCAACAATAGAAATTTGACTGTTGATGTTTTGTCATCTACTATCCATACGAGCTGAGCCGCGATTGATAGATAGTTACAACTTACAATAAACTAAAGGCTGGAAATAGAAAGTTCTTTATTGATACGGGAAGGACAAAATGTATTTTTGTCCCTAAATTATAAGGGGTCACAACTTTTGATCACCATTAGTTTTTTACTGACAAAATTAGTCACCATCTTTTCGTATATTCAACAGTTTTAGTCAATTTAACGGTTAACTAACAATTATCTCTTTTCTCCATTAAGTTTTTGTTTTTTATTAATTTTTTAATGAGCTGAGACCCGCAATGTATTTCCAAACAACAAAATCAGTTCCCTAATATATTTTTTTTTCAGCAATTTTAGTTACTTTAACAGGATAGTAGGTCCTTGATCAGAATTTTTTTAAAAAAAGAATTAAAGAAATAATGAAAATATTTCCGACCAACTTTCTAAACTCCAAATTTTCTGCTCCCCGAAATAAATTCCAAAAAAAAAAGAAAACCGACAACGAAAACGATCAATAATGAGACTCCTTTTCTGGGCTACTTTGCCAGTTGGGAGGTGATGGTGAGACGTTTGGGAGCAATATATTGGGGTTTAGCAGTATATTTTGTTTTTTTTAATTTGTTTCATTATTAGGGGACTGATTTTGTTGTTTGAAAATACATTACGGGTCCCAGTTGAGTAAAAAATTAATAAAAAATAAAAAACTTAAGAGAGAAAAGAGTTGACCGTTAAATTAACTAAAACTGTTGAATAAACGAAAAGATACTAACTAATTTTGTTTGTAAAGAATTAATGGTGACTAAAAGTTGTGAATCCCCGTAGAGGAACCAAAAGTGCGTTTTGTCCATATAGAAATTTTAATTTAGATTATCTGCGACATGTATAGACTAGCTAGTGTTTTGTCTGGTTTGTCCACTAATGTAGAGGTGCGAACCCAAGTTTTCTGACATGAAATACAGCTGATCATTTGCCGAAAAGAAAAGAAGAAAACTTCTAAAATTTAATCCATCCCAAAATAATTATCTTATTGTTTGAATTTTCATCATTTTTAGTATAATTGATAGTTAAAAAGGACTTACTATAAAGGCTTGAAAGTTGAAACCACAAAATATGGTTGCATCGTGACATAAATGTTAATGCTATTTTCTAGCGTCGGTTTTCTTTAGATCATGATATTGGCTTTATAAATCAAAACGTTTGTAGGTTTATATATAGAAATTCTCTCTGTTTTGAAATAATCATTTTTATTTATTTTCCTTTGAAAGTAGTAAAATAAACAAGACAATAATTCTGAATATTGGAAAGGAGGGAGGGATTATACATTTTGTGTAAAAATAAACGGAAACAAAAGAAACTGATTTACGTTGTTGACATTTGAACTAACAAAAGAAAAAAGTAGTTTTAATCGTAACCCACAAATTAATTTGTTGACATTGGTCGAAGTAATTTTTGTTTGGCGGGAAGTGGATGAGATGGAGGTGGAAGAAAATCAAACACAAACATCATATAAGTAGGCATATTATGTACTCCTACTATCAAGGAGGGGAGGATGATGATGAAATCGGGGCGCAGTTTCCAAACATGTGGTAGCGAGGCTTGCAATAGCAGCCAGCGGAGCACAGCGGAAGCGGCGATGGATGTATAATGGAGCAGCGTCCACCGCAGGCATCATCTGTTGTTGAAGTTTGGATAACCTTTCTCATCATGGACGAGGACGAGCTTATGTCCTTTGAAGACTCCATCATCAAACCTGCACATACATATAGGGAAAAGGTAAAAATTCATGCATCAATATATATTCCAATCAGGCGTGCCCGTTCAAGTACATATATATATATATCAAGCCCTGGTTCACTTTATCAACATGCAGCAACAACAAAGCATAAAGGAAATATATACGTACACACTTAGCCATTATGCATGAAAGGATATCCATCATCACTTACAGTTACAGGCTGCCGCGAGTAGCAAAAAGGGTACCATAACACGAACAAACTTAGCCATTATGTTCAGTAATAAATAACTCATAAGAACCCTCAAATATGAGTTTAGTGTTGTAGAGAAAGTGAATTTTGGGCAAAGGTTATTTATAAAATCATGTGATCGATCCAGAACATTTCTTCCCCTCCCCCCCCTAATAATAAAGGAAATTAAAGAGTGCAAATGCCATTAATAATATCAAAGACTGAACTAAATCAAAATGGTCAAAACTAATTAAGGTAATGAATTAATCACCCAGTCACGTGATGATGAATTAAAAAGTGCAAGAAAATCATTCATGTCCAGATATTCAGGTCTACTTACAAGCTGATCAAGACTTTTCTCATGCATGTTCATGTTGCAAGATCCTAGTTGTTCGGTAGGGAGAACCCAAGCTTCCAACTTGTTTAGGTTGACTCACGTTCAGCACTGGCTACATATGTCACTAAGTTATTTTTTTTTTTTAATACATATGTACATAGTTCATTCCACAAAAACCAAGAATTTAGCACATATACAGAGTCTCATTAATTAGATCGTGTTAGTAGTTAATGGTAAGATACTGTTTGCTACTTCTTGAGTTCAGGTGTCACGTGTATGACATAAGAATTGGTACTGCACTAGTACTAAATTAATATTTTCTCTTGAATTAATTACTTCTCCCCCAAAAAGTAAATAAATAAAACTAATATTAGTGCTTGTTTGGACGTCAGTTTTGTTTTCATTTTCGACTTGAATGTAAAAAGTGTTTTAAGTGAAAAAATAATGGGAGATGAAAAAGTTGTTTAGATGGTATCTTTAGCAAAAAATTGTTTAGATGGTGGTTAGGAAAAAGTTATTTGAAATATGTATTTAAATATCAAATACGAAAAATATCACACTACTAGAAAACTAGCCTAATACTACACTAATATTTATTTGTTTTGGGCACTAGATGAGAGCTGTA